AGGCGCCACAAGGGCAGCGCGACACGCACTAGGGGGGGGAGCGCGCCTCGGGGAGAATAGGGCGCGCTCCGGGCAGAAAAAAAAAATCGTGGGTGGGCCCAGAAAAAAACGGTCCTTAAGAGGGACCCGCTCTATACCATGAGAAACTGAATGAACAGGAATGAGTGAACTATGAATGAAGGCAGTACAAATATGAAACCCTAACTGGGTTGTACCCCCTATGGGATACCCCACTACAGCCTACACAATAGTATAAGCTATAGATATGTTCTGACACGACGATCCCGACGCTCTCGCTGAGCTGAAGGTGAAGGAGCTGAAGAACGGCCGCCTCGCCATGGTGTCCATGTTCGGCTTCTTCGTCCAGGCCATCGTCACCGGCAAGGGTCCCCTTGAGAACCTGTCCGACCACCTGGCTGACCCCACTGTGAACAATGCGTGGGCCTACGCCACTAACTTCACCCCCGGTGCTTAAAGAAATGCCTCTTTTCTGTACATTTTTTCTCCTATTATACATTAGTTTTCTTACCATCCACTCTAAAAAAAGAGAATCTTTTCGATGATTGCCCAAGCTGCTCAAATCTGAATACCGCCACAGATTTTGATCTTCACACTCTGGCAGTGGCATGCTTCTTTCCCTACTACCTGGCTGGAACATTTGAACGAATTGACGACAGCAGATAAGTTTCTAAGGGCGTGCCACTAAAATATATGAATGCGCGGGAAAATGAGAAGGAAACTCGATCAGCGCCGTCAGTTAAACTTGGAATTCAGGCAAAGAGGAAAAATAAGTTTCCAACTACCATCCCCTCTGCACCTGCATTGTTTCGACTAGTTCATTGCTGAGCTGGTTGCCTGCTCGCAAGTGCTGTAACGATCAGTTGAAGCAAGCCCGTAATTCACCGCCTGAAACGATCAGCAACAAACCAATAAAATGTGATCAGGTGCCTCTGCACCTCTGCACCTCTTCACCTGCACTGTGACGATGTGCTTTCATGGCGGTTGACACGAATGCCTCGCTGTCACGTTTGATGTTGCTTGCATATGATTGCACGATTGCTAGCGAAACCATTTTGGCTTCACACCATAGGTTTGCCTTGACAACGATTGTGCTGGGATTGTTCCAGTGAACAAACAAACCATTCGTGAAATGCTCTCAGCAATCAGCCTCACCGCAACTAATTCAGTACCACCACGCCCCATCCCAGCTAACCTCATCCCACGAGTCAGCTTGCCTCACCAGCATTCTCGTCGCATGCACGTCTCTGATGTGAACCGCCCAAGCCTTGCGAAACGATTTCGTGAAGTTGCACTCGCACAGTGTTACCAGCAGAGGATTCTGAAGTGCTGGAACTTCGCCAGTCGACACGTAATTTTGTGTGGTCCACACACCTTTTCCCCTTACTATTCTCCTCTAATCATATTGCACACCACGTCACAGGAACCTGATTACCACATTTTTGAAAGGGTAAGTAGCTTTCGCGGGGGTACCACTAGGGACCCCGCGCTTTGTAGGGAGCTACAGTGCCAGCGGGGGGCACTTTCCGCCCCTCCGTGCCTCAGACAGAGGAATTATAGAAACAACACAGAACTCTTCCCCACATTCACCCACGTGGCACAAGTTTCCATGCCAACTACTGCACTGAGCAACTTGTCAACTGTGCACAGTTGACTTTTGTCCCTTCTGCCAAATCGAATCCTCACTCTGGGTGGCTCGGCTGCCACTGTTCCGAAATCTGTTGAGCTAGTTTGTCGCGCCCTAGATTTCGAAACACAGGCCCAGCTCGCCAGACGGAAACGGAGAACACTAGCATTCCGTCTGGTCTACCGTGTGACTGTTTCCGTCAGTGGTTTCAGACACACATCACAGAAACGCGATTTTGCACATGGGCGTTAAAAAAAACAAGTCTCAGATTAGATAGATGGTTGATTCGTAGATGAATATGAATATCGCGGGAAATGAGGGTATTGAGTTTGGTAGTGCGTCTTCGATATCCTTGATGCATTACCGTAATAAAGCATACGGTAGTACTTACCTGATTTTAAAATCGTCATTTTATCAAGCAACTTGATATGCTTACTACAACACGAGACTCTACGAAACGACGAACGAGACACTGTTGGAAGCTTAGTATATCTGTGCGAGAATATGGGCAAAATAAAAAATCCTGTGCACCGCATATGATTCGATGTTCCCACCGTCCAGGTATGAAGCAGGATGTTGACATTGTCTACATTCTCGCTGTTAGTTGTGTCTTGAGGCGTGTGCACGGCATTATGCTCAGAACGCTTTGCTAAGGATAACTTTTGAATCGGTGGACCGATTCATTGCATTACACAGTAAAGTAATAATTACAGGAATTTATTAACAGAACGGCGAATATCCGCTTCATGGGGTGAAGATCTCGGCGTACACCCAGGCGTTGTTCACGGTGGGATCAGCCAGGTGCTCAGAAAGGTTCTCAAGGGGACCCTTTCCAGTGATGATAGCCTGAACAAAGAACCCAAACATCGACACCATGGCGAGGCGGCCGTTCTTCAGCTCCTTCACTTTCAGCTCAGCAAGAGCATCGGGATCGTCAGCAAGGCCCAGGGGGTCGAAGGCACCGCCGGGGTACAGGGGGTCCTCAACCTCTTGGAAGCCCTCGAGGCCACCCACGCGGTAGCTCTCAACGGCACCCATCAGGATGACCTGGGTGGCCCAGATGGCCAGGATGGACTGTGCGTGGATGAGGCTGGGGTTGCCCAGGTAGTCAAGGCCACCCTCGGAGAAGATCTGAGCGCCGGCCTTGAACCACACGGCCTCGCCGAAGTTCACGCCGTTGCCGGCGAGGAGCTCGGGGGTGAGGCAGCCGAGCGCGCCGAGCATGGCCCAGCGAGCGTGGATGACCTGAAGGTAACAAGAGATCATGGTAGACAGGAAGTGAGCGATTGTTACAGGATCTTGTGAGAAGGTATTCTTTAGAAAGTTGTTATTTCGCACGATGTGTACCTAAACTCCGCGGGAATGTATTCAATTGTGACATTAGAGAATTGCCATGCTTACCTCAAGCTCACGGTTCTTGGCGAATGTCTCAGGGTCGGAGGACAGACCAGCGGTATCCCAGCCGTAGTCGCCGGGGTACTCGCCGGTGAGGTACGACGGGGGGGAGGTGAAGGGGCCCAGGAACAGGTTGCGGTCGGGGCCGTAGAAGGCGCTGCTGGAAGCCGCCTTGGCGGTCTTCCTCATCGTCACGCGAGCCTCGACATTGTTGACCTTGGCGGCGAGCTCAGCGCTCTGGCCGACGAAGGTGGAGGGGAGCACGGCAGCGTTAGCGAGAGCGGCCATGGTTTCTGAGCGGTGTCGAATTCGTTGGGAAGCAAGAAATGTGAAGATGTGCAGCTCAAAGAATTCGGCTTGCTTCGGATGGAAAATGGAGCTGCTTTTTGTACTTCGAGAGAGCTGTTGTGGGGGGAGTTGAAGCACTGAAACTTCAGTAGGGCGGAGAAGTGCGGGAGGGATTTACTGTATGGGGGCAAAAGGGGGACGGGAGGGGAGGGTTGCTTGGTTGTGGGTTGGGGGGAGGGGAGGAACGGACATGAAGGGGAAGCAGTGTGGAAGTGGTCCCGCTAGGCGCCGGGAACGAGGGTCTGGCAGAGAATTTCGGTTGATAAAGGTGAATAGATAGCAACGACGATCCGGTAGGATTTGAGGGTTTCTTAAGTGGTGATTACAGCGCGCCAATTGTCGGGGAAGGTGGCCAAGGAAATCTCCTGTGTTGGAAGGAAGAATCGCAGCGCGCCAGTGCCTCTGCTTTGCGAACCTGGCTGCGAGAGTGCTGGATGCATCAGGGAGAATTACGTCTTCCAATCACAGCACACCGCCATACGCATCTCTCGCAGCGAGTGGTCAAAATCGTCAGCCTGAGTTGTCGGTTCCATGGCCGTCGTCTGACATGTGTTGAAGATGCCGCGTTTCAAGCACTCCGCATTGGTTTTATTAAAAAAAAATGTTCTAAGACTTCTCACATGTATTGCAATCACAGAAAGCTTATCACAATGTTTGATTCATCCTTGAGGTCACTAGTGCCTAAGAATCTTCATGATCTACACTAGTGATGCACCCGATTAAAAACAACTTGCTCTATACATGAAGGCATCGAAGATCAATGAATGAACTCATTACTCTACGCTACCAGAGAATGCAGGACACTAGTTTGTATGGTATTTTGAATTACAGTAGCAGGCGTTTCTCAATTCATTGGCAGGCCGAATCACTAGCTCCCATTGCATCTAGTTAGTAGTAGCAGCATCTGCCAATGGGTGTGCATACAAGGATCCTTCCAGCCCTTATCTTGCATCAAATTACAATCCCTTAGCAGCCATTAGCTGTTTCGGACGTTCAAGCATCTGGCCTCCCATTGCTACTTTCCCTGAGCATCTGAACCGCCTATAGCGCCACTGCACACTCCATGCGCCTTCCCACCTGTTGAGTTGACTCCTGTGCATCTGCCTTTCCCTGTCAACCCGCCTTTCCCTCTCAACCTGCTTTTCCCTGTCAACCTGCTTTTCTCTGTCAACCTGCTTTTCTCTGTCAACCTGCTTTTCTCTGTCAACCTGCTTTTCTCTGTCAACCTGCTTTTCTCTGTCAACCTGCTTTTCTCTGTCAACCTGCTTTTCTCTGTCAACCTGACTCTCCCCCAATGTTTACCTTTCCCTCTCAACCTGCCTTTCCCTCTGAGACTTTCTGTCCCTGCCAGTCTCCCTTTCCCTGTGTGTGTACCTTTCCCTCTCAACCTGCCTTTTCCTGTACCTCTACCTTTCCCTGTCAAACTGCCTTTCCCTGTGTGTATACCTTTCCCTGTCAACCTGCCTTTCCCCGTGCATCTGCACAGCCTCTAACGCCACTGCCCACTCCTCCATGCTCCTCCCTTTGCGTTGAGACTCACAAGACATTCTCTCTCGTCTGCCATTCCCCCCTGCGTCTGTGTATTCCTGTCAACCTGCCTTTCCCTCTCCATCTACCTTTCCCTCTCCATCTGTGCAGCCTCTAGTGCCACTGCCCACTCCTCCATGCTCCTCCCCTCCACTGTCACCCATGGGATGATCCCAAGGGCCGGCTGCTTCCACCAATGGGAGACCTGCAGTATCAGAATGAAGGGGAAGGGGGCACACGAAACATCTTCTAAGTTTGTCGAACACACGGAATGATCCCAACGGCCGGCTGCTTCCACCGATGAGATACCCGCATGATCAGAACGACGGGAGTGAGGGTGCAGGGAAGTTTTTGTGTGTTCTGAGAGGCGAATCTCTCACCAGGTGAGAGGCGAATCACTCACCAGGTGAGAGGCGTCGTCGTGGGTGCGAGACACGAGCTGCCTTGACTTCCCCTGTAGCTGTGCCAGCTGCGGCAGCCACTCCGACAAGCTATCAGGTGTGTTTTAGACACAGCAAGCAGTTGAATGCACTCACCAGGAAGGTCAGACGCGTCGTGGGTGCGAGACACGAGCTGCCTTGATCTGCCCCTGCAGCTGTGCCAGCTGAAGCAACCATAATAACAGCCCTTCCCTTGCCACATGCTATAAGGTGAGTTCCAGGGACAGAGAGTAGTTGAATCACTCACCAGTTCAGAGGCGTCATGAGTGCATGAGACGAGTTGCCTTGACTGCCCCTTAAGCTGTGCCAGCCGTGGCAGCTGAGGCAGCTCCACGCACCACATTAAGCAGACGTATTGACCCATGGCAAGTAGATGAATGGACTCACCAGTTCAGAGGCGCTCTGAGTGCGCGAGACGAGCTGCCTTGCCTGCCCCTGCAGCTGTGCCAGCTGCGGAAGCCACTCCGATAACACCTCCATATGCTGCTGCTCCGCCTGCTGCTGCAGCCCAGCGAGTTGCCTGGATGGGGGATGAGGGGATGGGAAAAAGGCAGACAGGGAGAGAAAGGAGAGTGTGGGAAGCGAGGGGAAGTAGCCACTCGGATAGCACCTCCATATGCTGCTGCTCCGCCTGCTGCTGCAGCCCAGCGAGTTGCCTGGATGGGGGATGAGGGGATGGGAAAAAGGCAGAAAGGGAGAGAAAGGAGAGTGTGGGAAGCGAGGGGAAGCAGCCACTCGGATAGCACCTCCATGTGCTGCTGCTCCGCCTGCTGCTGCAGCCCAGCAAGTTGCCTGGATGGAGGGTCGGGGAATGGGAAAAAGGAGAAAAGAGAAAGAGAGCAGGGAGAGCGAGCAAGGTCAGGCAGCCACTCTGCTCGCACCTCCTGCTGCTGCTCTGCTCCACCTGCTGCTACAAGGTGACTTTTGAGCCGACTCAAAAGTCACTTCGTCAGGCAGACACTCTGCTCGCACCTCCATGTGCTGCTGCTCCGCTCCACCTGCTGCTACAAGGTGACTTTTGAGCCGACTCAAAAGTCACTTCGTCAGGCAGACACTCTGCTCGCACCTCCATGTGCTGCTGCTCCGCTCCACCTGCTGCTACAAGGTGACTTTTGAGCCGACTCAAAAGTCACTTCGTCAGGCAGACACTCTGCTCGCACCTCCATGTGCTGCTGCTCCGCTCCACCTGCTGCTACAAGGTGACTTTTGAGCCGACTCAAAAGTCACTTCGTCAGGGAGACACTCTGCTCGCACCTCCATGTGCTGCTGCTCCGCTCCACCTGCTGCTACAAGGTGACTTTTGAGCCGACTCAAAAGTCACTTCGTCAGGGAGACACTCTGCTCGCACCTCCATGTGCTGCTGCTCCGCTCCACCTGCTGCTACAAGCCACATGCATGCATCTGCATCCACCAATCACACCTTCCCACCGTTATGCACCACTCTGACATCCCACAGCCCCATGCACCAAACCAGCTTACCGTGCCATGCTGGCGACAGCTGGCTCCAGCTCTGCAGCGCTGCCAGCTGCCACGTCAGCAGCTGCTGACATGGCATCCACAAACTGAGCCACTGCCAGGAGATCAGTGCTCAAAGACACTGCTGACGTCACCCCCCTCCCTCCTCCTCCTCCTCCACCTCCCCCTCCCCCCTCAATCCCACTTCTTCTACCCTCCACTCTCACTCCTCCCACCTCATTTTCCCTCGTCCTCTCCCCCTCTTCCCCAGCCCTCCCCCTCCCCACACTCCCCCCCCCAGTGCAACCCCAAGCATGAGCAGCCAGCTCACTCCCTGTCCCACCGTCTATCCTGCCACCTGTCGCCGCATCATTGGCTTCCCAAGCTGCCCGAAGAACCTGGGCAGCCTCAGCAGCCAATGGAAGAATCGGGTCACTATCAGAAGAAGGTGTAGGTGCATTGGAGGAGGAACGGGAAGAGGAAGGGAGTGATGGGAGGGGGAGAGGGGAGGGGGAGAGAGCGAGAGAGTGAACGAGAGAGGAGAGAAGGGGCCAGAGTACAGTATCAGCAGCAGCTGTACCACCAACACCACCAACACCAGCAGCACCAGCAGCAGCAGCAGCAGCAGCAGCAGCAGCAGCAGCAGCAGCAGCAGCAGCAGCAGAGGCAGAAGAAGCAGATGAGTGTTCCTGCCCCTGAAGCTGTTCCTGTCCATGTTCGTGTCCCAGCCCCTCGCCCTCCCCCTCAACAGCCGCCGATGGAAAGCTAAAGCTACTTCGTGCCTGTGCCTGTGCCTGTGCCTCCCTCTCAGAGGACAGTGATGGGTTTTGAGGCGTCTGAGACGTCTGAAGTATCTCACTACGCAACGGAAAGCTACAGGAGACCGGGCGGCACAGCCAGGAGGGCGGCAGCGCCACGCCAGCTGTCACCTCGTGAGTGGCCAGATCCCATGCCGCTCGAACCGAGCCAATGAGAGCGCTTCCAGCCTTTGCCACGTGTCCTGCCAGGGCCTTTTGAGTCTGCCCATTTGTGAGGTTCCACCACATGTGTGCATAGGCCTGATGGGAATTGAGGGGGGGGGGGGGGGGGGGGGGGGGGGGTGCCGAGAGATTAAGAGGGGTGGATGAGGGGGATTGGATAAGTCACTAGCTTCCAATGCTGTCTCCCCATTGGAGGGTTCCCCCACATGTGCGCATAGGCCTGATGGGGTGTGGGGTTGCAGAGGAAAGGGGGTGTCGAATGGGTATTCACAGAGTACGAAGGGTGAATGGGGTGAGTCCTGTCAGGGCATTCTGAGTCGTCCCATTGGTGAGGTTCCACCACATGTGGGCATAGGCCTGTTAGGGAGGGGGAGTGTAGAAATCACGAGGCACAGATGCGTTTGGAGGGGTTTAGATACGTTGTGCGTGCACTCCTGATGCAGTCTCCCCATTGGTGAGGTTCCACCACATGTGGGCATAGGCCTGTTAGGGAGCACGGAGGAAGCGGGACGAATGGGTATTCACAGAGTACGAAGGGTGAATGGGGTGAGTCCTGTCAGGGCCTTTTGAGTCGTCCCATTGGTGAGGTTCCACCACATGTGGGCATATGCCTGATGGGAAGGGAGAGGGCGCGGAGAGAGAATTACAAAGTGGGCACCAGGGGGGCCACATAAGCCCCAGCTCTTCTGCTGCCTTCAAGTCGCCCTGTTGGTGAGGCTCCACCACTTGTGGGCATAGGCCTGAACGGAAGGGCGGCTGTGGGTGCAGAAAACGCGAGATACAGATGGGTTTGGAGGGGTTTAGATACGTTGTGTACTCCTGATGCCGCCTCCCCATCCACCACATCTGGGCTTAGGCTTGATTGGGGGTCGCTAAGGAAGAGGGAAGTGTGTGTGTTTGTTTGTTTCTCTCACTTGGTTCAACCAATAACGCCCAACAGCTAAGCAAACTCTGCAGCTTACCATTGGGAATTTAGCAGATTGCTTTTGTTTTGTTTTGATTTTTTTTCTATTACACCACTTTTCCCAAACCAAGTGACATGATGTGTCCAGACAGGAGCAAGGGACATAGACAGGGCATACCTGGTTTATCCTCCTTATAAGCTCGTACTCCGCCCACTTATTGCTGCGCTCGTCATTGAAACCCTTGATTCGCTCCCACTGCTGCAGCACTCTGCGATTCGTGGCTCCTGCTGCTGCCACCTCACTGCAATGGGGGATAATTACCGACAAAAGAAGTACAATGGGGCAAGATGGAAAGAGGTGATTGCATCATCCGCCGATAGACTTGCTGCAGCAGCCGGGATGGAGCAGAGGCTGGACTGATGAGAATTCTCAGAAGCAGCCGGGATGGGACAGACAGAGGCAGGACTTGTCACTTGTACTATGTCCCACCACCCGCCTTGACATGACAGTCGCCTTTCTGCTGCTTGAAGCACCCTCAGCTCTGCCTCTCCCACAGCTATCCCCAACCCCACAATTTCAAGCCACTCACCTCCGCACTCTCACTCACCCACTTTCACAATATGCACTCTATCACCTAGAAAGGCATATTTCCGCAGCTTGAAACACCTGCCGCTCTGCCTCTCCCACAGCTGTCCCCAACCCAAGCACGTCTATGTGCGTGTGCCCGTAATTTGCATGCGCTCTCACCTTGACAACCGTTTCTCCGTTGCCTGAAGCACTTGCAACTCTGCCTCTGCCACAGCTATCCCCAACTCCACATCCTCCAGCCTCTCACCTCCGCACTCCCGCCCACCTTCACATAGTATAGAATATGCCAATATCCCACCTTGATAGTCGCTTCTCCGCTGCTTGCAGCACCCTCAACTCTGCCTCCGCCATAGCTATCCCCAACTCCAACTCACCTATCCATGTGTACGTGATTTGCATGCGTGAGTGCGCTATCCCACCTTGATAGTCGTTTCTCCGCTGCTTGAAGCACCCTCAACTCTGCCTCCGCCATAGCTATCCCCAACTCCACATCCTCCTCACCACCCACTCCCTCCTCCCCTCCCTCCTCCTCTCCCTCCTCCCCTCCCTCCACCTCTCCCTCCTCGCCTCCCTCCTCCCCCCTCTTCCCTGCCCCGTCTCTGTCCCGTCTGTTAGATTGATCACTGGTCCTCCTTTCCACCTCCAGCCTCACTGCGTCAGCTCTCTTCCTCAGCACTTGCGTCTGCAGGCACAGGTCGCGATACTCCTTCTGCCAGAGGGGACGTAGAGGGAGTGAGAGAGAAAGGAGGGAGTGAGCGTGTTTGCTTCAGCAGCGGTCCTCCTTTCCACCTCCAGCCTCACTGCGTCAGCTCTCTTTCGGAGCACTTGCGTCTGCAGGCACAGGTCGCGATACTCCTTCTGGCAGAGGGGCCAAAGAGAGGGAGAAACGGAGGGACAAGGGGGAAGAAACGTCTCTTACTCAGCACTTGCGTCTGCAGGCACAGGCCGCGGTACTCCTTCTGCCAGAGGGCAATGGAGAGAAAGAGCGAGGGAGAGGGAGAAACGGAAGGACAAGGGGGGAGAAACGATGGCCGCTGTGTTCCTTCTCAGCACCTGCGTCTGCAGGCAGGTCACCGTACTCCTTCTGGCAGAGGGACATCGAGAGAGGGAGTGAGGGAGGGAGCGAGGGAGGGAGTGAGAGAGGGATGGGAAGGGAGAAGGGAGCCTCGGCTGTCCTTTTCAGCACCTGCGTCTGCAGGCACAGGTCGCGATACTCCTGACAGAAGGAATCGGGGGGGGTGAGAGAGGGAGGGAGTGAGCCTACTTGCTTCAGCAGAGGTCCTCCTTTCCACATCCAGCCTCACTGCCTCACTGCCTTCTTTTGGAGCACTTGAGTCTGCAGGCGCAGGTCGCGATACTCCTTCTGGCAGAGGGAGCATAGAGAGAGGGAGGGAGGGAGTGAGGGAGGGAGTGGGGGAGGAAGTGAGAGAGGGGTGGGGAGGGAGAAAGGGGGCCTCGGCTCTCCTTTTCAGCACCTGAGTCTGCAGGCACAGGTCGCGATACTCCTTCTGGCAGGCGGAAAAGGGAAGCCGCAGGATAGGAACGTAAGATAACGAAAGGGTGTCTGCATCACGGAAAGCAAGGGCACGAGTAGAGAAAGACTCTCCTCTGGCGGCTTCGGCTCTCCTTTTCAGCACCTGAGTCTGCAGGCACAGGTCGCGCTACTCCTTCTGCAAGAGGGAAAGGGGTTGTTGCAGAGTAGGAAGGTCAAAAATACTTTTGAGGCGCCTCAAAAGTCCCACTACTCCTTCTGCAAGAGGGAAAGGGGTTGTCGCAGAGTAGGAAGGTCAAAAATACTTTTGAGGCGCCTCAAAAGTCCCACTACTCCTTCTGCAAGAGGGAAAGGGGTTGTCGCAGAGTAGGAAGGTAAAAAAAAGCGGAAGGACGTTTGTAATGAAGGATGCAGATAACGAAAGGACGCTTCATCAGCATCTAGCCATCGACCAACACACTTGCCCTTCTCACCTGCCTCGCCAGCACCAGCTCCTGTGTTGACTGCAGCGCCTGGTGCTGCTGACTCAGTGCAGTAGCAGTGAGATCTACTCACCCACACCCACCCATCGACCAACACACTTGCCCTTCTCACCTGCCTCGCCAGCACCAGCTCCTGTGTTGAGTGCGGTGCCGGTCGCTGCTGACTCGCCCCAGCCCTTGCTCCTCGCCCTGTGCTGCCACCAACCCCAGCAGCAGCAGCAGTGGCAGCAGCAGCAGCAGTGGCAGCAGCAGCACCACCACCATCTGCACCTGCCTCTCTTACCTGTCTCGCCAGCACCAGCTCTTGTGTAGACTGTGGCCCCTGGCGCTGCTGAATCGCCCCAGCCCTTGCTCCTCGCCCTGTGTAAACATCGAGAGGTAAACTTCCTTTTCACACTCTTACCTGTCTCGCCAGCACCAGCTCCTGTGTAGACTGTGGCCCCTGGCGCTGCTGACTCAGTGCAGTAGCAGTGAGATCTACTCACCCACACCCACCCATCGACCAACACACTTGCCCTTCTCACCTGCCTCGCCAGCACCAGCTCCTGTGTTGAGTGCGGTGCCGGTCGCTGCTGACTCGCCCCAGCCCTTGCTCCTCGCCCTGTGCTGCCACCAACCCCAGCAGCAGCAGCAGTGGCAGCAGCAGCACCACCACCATCTGCACCTGCCTCTCTTACCTGTCTCGCCAGCACCAGCTCTTGTGTAGACTGTGGCCCCTGGCGCTGCTGAATCGCCCCAGCCCTTGCTCCTCGCCCTGTGTAAACATCGAGAGGTAAACTTCCTTTTCACACTCTTACCTGTCTCGCCAGCACCAGCTCCTGTGTAGACTGTGGCCCCTGGCGCTGCTGACTCAGTGCAGTAGCAGTGAGATCTACTCACCCACACCCACCCATCGACCAACACACTTGCCCTTCTCACCTGTCTCGCCAGCAGCAGCTCCTGTGTAGACTGCGGCCCCTGGCGCAGCTGACTCAGAAAAGCACCTGCCTTGCCTTGCCATGCTCTCACGCTTACCTGTCTCGCCAGCACCAGCTCCTGTGTAGACTGCGGTCCCTGGCGCAGCTGACTCGCCCCAGCCCTTGCTCCTCGCCCTGTGCTCCCACCAGCCCCAGCAGCAGCAGCAGCAGTAGCAGCAGCAGCAGCACCACCGTCACCACCGTCAGCAGATGAGAATGATGCATGCTTTGCTGCCTTGCGCAAAAGGTGCTTTGACGTGCCACCACCACTGCCGCTGCGGTTGTCACTGCCACCAGTCATCCCAGCCGTACTTCCCCTACTCGCACTGAGAGGCGCCTTGGTTGGAGTGGTCAGTCTGGTGATAAGCAAGGAAAGGGAGGAGCAGAGAGGGGCTGAGGTGGCTAATCTGGTGATAAGCAAGGGAAGGGAGGAACAGAGAGGGGTTGGGGTGGTCAGTCTGGTGATAAGCAAGGGAAGGGAGGAAGGTAGCGAGGCTGGGAACACGACACTGCCACCAGTCAGCCCTCCCGTTCCTCCCCCACTCGCACTGAGAGGCGCCTTGGTTGGGGTGGCCAGTCTGGTGATAAGCAAGGAAAGGGAGGAGCAGAGAGGGGTTGAGGTGGCCAGTCTGGTGATAAGCAAGGGAAGGGAGGAACAGAGAGGGGTTGAGGTGGCCAGTCTGGTGATAAGCAAGGGAAGGGAGGAGCAGAGAGGGGTTGAGGTGGCCAGTCTGGTGATAAGCAAGGGAAGGGAGGAGCAGAGAGGGGTTGGGGTGGCCAGTCTGGTGATAAGCAAGGGAAGGGAGGAGCAGAGAGGGGTTGAGGTGGCCAGTCTGGTGATAAGCAAGGGAAGGGAGGAACAGAGAGGGGTTGAGGTGGCCAGTCTGGTGATAAGCAAGGAAAGGGAGGAACAGAGAGGGGTTGAGGTGGCCAGTCTGGTGATAAGCAAGGGAAGGGAGGAGCAGAGAGGGGTTGAGGTGGCCAGTCTGGTGATAAGCAAGGGAAGGGAGGAACAGAGAGGGGTTGAGGTGGCCAGTCTGGTGATAAGCAAGGGAAGGGAGGAGCAGAGAGGGGTTGAGGTGGCAAGTCTGGTGATAAGCAAGGGAAGGGAGGAACAGAGAGGGGTTGAGGTGGCCAGTCTGGTGATAAGCAAGGGAAGGGAGGAGCAGAGAGGGGTTGAGGTGGCCAGTCTGGTGATAAGCAAGGGAAGGGAGGAAGGTAGCGAGGCTGGGAACACGACACTGCCACCAGTCAGCCCTCCCGTTCCTCCCCCACTCGCACTGAGAGGCGCCTTGGTTGGGGTGGCCAGTCTGGTGATAAGCAAGGAAAGGGAGGAGCAGAGAGGGGTTGAGGTGGCCAGTCTGGTGATAAGCAAGGGAAGGGAGGAACAGAGAGGGGTTGGGGTGGTCAGTCTGGTGATAAGCAAGGGAAGGGAGGAAGGTAGCGAGGCTGGGAGCACGACACTGCCACCAGTCAGCCCTCCCGTTCCTCCCCCACTCGCACTGAGAGGCGCCTTGGTTGGGGTGGCCAGTCTGGTGATAAGCAAGGAAAGGGAGGAGCAGAGAGGGGTTGGGGTGGCCAGTCTGGTGATAAGCAAGGAAAGGGAGGAGCAGAGAGGGGTTGAGGTGGCCAGTCTGGTGATAAGCAAGGGAAGGGAGGAGCAGAGAGGGGTTGAGGTGGCCAGTCTGGTGATAGTAAGCACGCAAGGGTGGGGAAGGAAGAGAGAGGTTGGGAACACGAGTGCTGTCGACACTGCCACCAGTCATCCCTTCCCTTTCTCCCCCACTCGCACTGAGAGGCGCCTTTTGAGTTGGGAAGGAAGAGACAAGGATGATAACTTGTGAGAAGCCCCCAATGCACTTGTCCTAGTCTTGTCCCTTCGTCCTCCACTCCACATCTCTCCACACACACTCCCTCCACCTCTCTCCACACACACTCCCTCCACCTCTCTCCACACACACTCCCTCCGAATCTCCTCCGCCTTCCTCCCTACAGCACTCTGCAGCAGCACCACCACACCAACCTTCCCTGAAACCCAAACTTTCCACACACAAACAGACTCAACTCCACTTACCCCAGTGACCAGTCTTGTGCCTTCCTCCTCCACATCCGTTCCCACACATTCTCTCTTTACCTCCTCCACCTTCCTCACCACAGCACCCTGCAACCCAAACTTTCCACGCACAAACAGACTCTCCTCCACTCCACTTACCCCAGTGACCAGTCTTGTGCCTTCCTCCTCCACATCCGTTCCCACACATTCTCTCTTTACCTCCTCCACCTTCCCCCCTACAGCATCCCAACTACCCTTCACCCTCATCCCTAATGCACTTACCCCAGTCTCGTTCCCTCCTCCTCCAAATCAGTCCACGCACACTCCCTCCGAATCTCCTCAGCTTCCTCTCCACGGCACCCTGCAGCACCACGTACCTACCCCCTGGAACCACTGCATATCCCCCACTTACCCTAATCTCGTTCCTTCTTCCTCCACATCTGTCCCTGCACACTCCCTCCTTATCTCCTCCGCCTTCCTCTCCACAGCACCCTGCAGCACCGCCACCAACCCCTCCGGATGAAGCCTCGCGCGTTCTAAAAAGCCTCTCACCGGCAGCTCGCTCCATTCTATAGGCGCCAGATCAGCCAAGCCTCCAGGGAAAGAGAGGAGAAAAGAGTCGGCGGGGGTAGCAGGAGCAGCAGAGGCGGCAGAAGTACCAGCAGTAGCTGCTGCTATGCTGTTCCTACCTGCTGCTGCTGCCGTTGCAGCGTTAGCAGCAGCAGGCACATTACTATTAGCAGCATGAGAGGGATAAATTGTAACTGCTGCAAGGGAGGAAATGGCACTCGTGTGTTGGCCTGGCTGGGGGGCAGCAGCAGCACCAGCACCAGCAGCGGCACCAGCAGCAACAGCAGCAGTAGCAGAGGCACCAGCAGCAGCAGCAGCGGTAGCAGCGGCACCAGCAGCAGCACCAGCAGCAGCACCAGTAGCCGTACCAGCAGCAGCAGCAGGGGGGGAGTGAATGGCATCAGACAGCCGCGCCTGCAGAAACATCTGCAGGAGAGAAAGAGCCTCATCCGTTTCAGCAGCCGTGGGGAGAGAAGCTGCAGGCTCCGCTGCTGCTGCTGCTGCTGCTGCTGCTACTGCGGTTCCTGCTGCTGCTGTGGCTGTTGTTGTGGCTGCTGCCGGTGCTGCTGCCATTCCTGCTGTTCTGGATCCTCGTGTTGTAGCAGCAGAAGCGGCAAGAGCAGGTGAAATGCGAGCCTTGCAGTCACTCAGGCCATGGTTCCCAGCCCCCAGGTACGCCCGGAATCCGTTGATTTGCAGCGAATGCGCGTGAAGCACTGCCGCCCTCGCCCTGCCAGTTGTATGGGGTTACAGTGTTACAAATGAGGAAAAATCGTGAGACTTGAAGTCACAAAGACCCCGGTTCCCAGCCTCCAGGTAGGTTCCGAAGCCGTTGACTTGCAGCGAATGCGCGTCAAGCACCGCCGCCCTCGCCCTGCCAGTTGTATGGGGTTACAGTGTTACAAATGAGCAGAAATTGTGAGACTTGAAGTCACAAAGATCCCATTGACGCTCGGAAGCCATTGACTTGCAACGGATGAGCGTGAAGCACCGCTGCCCTCGCCCTGCCACGTGTGTTACAGTGTTACAGTGTTGTGCAACAAGAGGAACACACATTTGAGCATTCTCAAAAAGCTGACTTCCGAGTAGACTCAAATATCGCGGAGTTACAGTGTTGCACATGAGGAGCAAAACATTTTAAAGCATTCTCAAAACTTTCCTCGCCCTTCAACAGGCGTGCTACGGGGTTTCAGAGCTGCGCATCACAAAGAAAACCATGTGGGAAAACGGGAGGTGCGACCAGCATCGCACAGCAATTAATTCACTCACAACACACACCTTATCGACGAAGCCTCCTCGTCCATCTGCGTGCTCTGCGCTGACAGCGATTCGACATCGCGCGCTTTAACGTGCACGGATCGCTCACAACACACACCTCACAGCCGAAGCCTGCTTGTCCATGGCTGTGCTCTGCGCGGACAGCGACTCGACATCGCGCGCCTTCGAGTGCACCGATCGTTCCGGCGACACTACCGCCTGCTGCTCCTGCTGCTGTCTTCGTTCTACTGTTTGAGTCACTACTGTCTGCTGCTGCTGTCTTTTCCCGCATTGCTTCATCCCTCCCACAGAAACCTCACCTTATCGCTGAGGCCTGCTCGTCCATCTGCGTGCTCTGCGCTGACAGCGACTCCACATCGCGCGCTTTAGCATGCACAGATCGCTCGAGCGACACCACCGCCTGCTGCTCCCGCTGCAGTCGCTCCGCCGCTTGCGCCTTCCGCTCGCGCGCATCCCTCTCCCGCTCCTCCTGCGCCCGCTCCTGCTCTCGTCGTTCGCGCAGTTCCCGCTCCGCCGCCTGCTCCGCGGTCTCCGGGGGTAGCCTTTCCCCCGAACCCAGATTTCCGCCAGCAGTTGCGCGGCTGGGCCCGCTTCCCCTGGATCCGACCCCGCGTTGCGCTTGCGGGGGAACAGATCCGCGCGGATACGCCCCGCGGGAAGGCTGGGATGCGGCTGTGTAGGTTTGTCTGCGAATTCTCGGATCCGCCATGTTACAGGCTAAGACTAAAAAGCTGATACGAACCTACTACTCTTGGATCATACAGCGCGAAGACGGTGGGAAAGACGAAATAGTTCAGGATTCGTTCACCGCATGTTAGCCTCAGATCAAGCTCCTCAAGTTGCCTTGAGTTTATTTTGCGTTGCTGAGTGCTTGTCAAATGCTTAGAGTCTGGGAATTCTTCTGACATGGCCCTAAGCCGAGGGGAGTGGGGGAGGGCAGGGCATGCAGGGCTTGTGATGAGAGTATCGAGCTTACGAACAATAATGATTTCGTGATGCGGGAAGCGAAGCTGCACATCTTCGCATTTTCTGCGGCTCGGCATTTTCAAGGGCCAGTTACAGACGTTGTTTCTGGCGGGAATCCAGTTGAGTGGGATGGAACTTGTAACCCCCAACCAGGCGAACCTAAAGAAGTTCGCGAGGCTGATATTGGTTTCAAAAATTGCACACTTTACTCGGTTCTGTGAGGTATGTGCTGTTTCAAACCGGTTGGAAGTTAAATTCATGTGAGTTACTATTGAGGCAATGTTTCAGCAGTATCCAAGCATGGCCTCCTAATTTCAAGAGGGTTCTAAAGTGGGACAAGGAACTGTGCTGAGAATTGTTTGAGATAGGTACATCCTACGACCAGTCCCTTAGTCAGGTCCTTGTACTCGAGCATGGTAGCGCATGGTATTGCAAACGGCGATGCGTTTTCGCATGAACGTTTAGCTGACTGAAGGGTAGCGTAAAGGCGACGTCGTACGACAGATGCGCTTCGAAGCTAGGCTCGTCCCGCGTCGCGTCCTCGTGTCGATCCGTGAAGCAGTCGAAACGTCGTCGCTCTTCACGTTATTGCATGCCACTTCCATCGTTCCAATAACGAATATAACGACTATCCTACGACTTCCATCAACGTACCCCTCGTTTCCTAGCATGGCTACTCGTCCACTCACATTCCGACCGTTACAATCACTTCTTCCACGTGGGCCAGAACCCCCTCTACTTTCACCCTCGATAAAGGATAATCCCAATATTTTCAAGACCGTCACCTCGTTAGGAGCCGCAGCAGCAAGGTTTAGAGTAAAGGCTCTCATTGACCTGTCGGTAAGTAGTATTACTGGCAGCACGAGAAGCAGTATCTTTTCGCGAGGTGCTGTTACCAGCAGCTGCATTGCAAGCACCACGTGGCGTCATCCCATTTGTCCTGGTCCGCTCCGCGACAGCCAGACTGCCGCCCTTCACAGCGCACATTCTTCGACGGCGGAACCCTCTAAGGAAGCTTCTTCTACGGAACTCTCATCTCCAGACAATGCCAATACCCTCTCCCCTTCCTCTGTCCAAATCCTGTCCACTCCAACGCGTGTAGTACCTGAACGGCTATCTAGCAATGTCCAAACCGCAGAAGAATCTCAGCCGTTGGATCTAGATGATCCAAGGGTCCTGGCGTGCTGTGAACCGCTAAGTGCCAGTGGGAACTCGCAGGAGCAGCAGCGGCCGCTGCGGGTGGCCGTGCTGCTAAGTGGCGGTGTGGATAGCAGTGTGGCGCTTAGGCTGCTGCACGCAGCAGGGCACAAATGCGAGGCGTTTTACTTGAAGATCTGGTTCCAAGAGGACTTTGAGAACTTCTGGTCGCAGTGCCCCTGGGAGGACGATTTGGCCGTGGCTCAGGCCGTGTGTGACGAGGTGGGTAGCACTAAGCTTATAACGAGGATAACCTGGCCGTGGCACAGCCTCACATGTGGTTCCAGGAGGACTTTGAAAACTTCTGGTCGCAGCGCCCCTGGGAGGATGACCTGGCCGTGGCGCAGGCTGTTTGTGATGAGGTGAGTGTTTTTCCACTGCACACCCACACCCACCCACACACGGGTACACAGCCGCACACACAGCCGCACACACACACACACACACACCCACACACACCCACACCCACACCCACACCACACAACCACACCCACCCACCAGACACACTCGCACATGTGGTTCCAGGAGGACTTTGAGATGTTCTGGTCGCAGCGCCCCTGGGAGGATGACCTGGCCGTGGCGCAGGCTGTTTGTGATGAGGTGAGACTCTGTCTAACACACACCAACAAACCAAGTGGAAGCTTCATCACCCCCCTCTATCTGCACCGCACTCCACCCCTCCCTCCAGATTAACGTTCCGCTGCACATAGTGCATCTCACAGACGCCTACTGGCAGCGCGAGGTGGCGCACTGTGCCACTGAGTGGGGGCTTCATTCATCTCTCTCCCTCCATCTGCACCGCACTGCACCCCCTCCCTGCAGATTAACATCCCGCTGCACATAGTGCATCTCACAGACGCCTACTGGCAGCGCGTGGTGACGCACTGTGTGGGAGAAATCCGCAGCGGCCGCACTCCCAACCCCGACATGCTCTGCAACTCGCGCATCAAGTTTGGTGCGTCCTCCATTTTAAAACCAGTAAAATGTTCTGTGTTTGGATGTCTTTTCAGTCTAGTCAAAACCCAACCCCGACATGCTCTGCAACTAGTGTGTCAAGTTTGGTATACTCTAAATCCATCCTGAACACATTCAAAAGCCACTTTGAAATCATCTGGAAACAACTAAAAAGTGATCAAGAATCCACCCTAAAGCCGTCCTAGAAATGTCATGAACCATCCTTAAAAAAAAAAAAAAAAAATTACAAATCATCCAGTATTCGGTCTAAAACCTTCAAGAAACCATCTTACAACCATCTTAACCCCCCCCGACTCCGAATTTCTGTCTTGGCTGTGCTCTCTCAAAATTCCAGAGTTGTAATATGTTCTGATTTGCGTATCCACAGTTGGGTACCTGATGATGGTGGATGGATGGGTGGGTGACTCCTAAAGCATTAGGGCGTGTTCCTACTTGCCTGATAGAGTGCGCGAAGGGTGAGTTTACACGAATATTAGTGTGGTGCAAAGTGAGTCTGATAAGAGGTTGCCTGAAAAAGGGCCATAGAAACACGCCCTTAGTTTGGTGTGAGATGCTTGTGCGTGGTGCACAAGGCACGTGCTTGCTTCCCAGTTGCAAGCCTCACCGTTGTGTTGTGTGCTGTATGCCCTTTTGTGTCTGCGCTATATCGGGACATCAGCGATGGCTAGACAACTTCACCAGTCTCCCCTCTGGGAGGTGCTAGACCTCGGTCTCTGCCTTGCTCCTCCAGGTGCTAGACCTCTGTCTCTGCCTTGCTCCTCCAGGTGCTAGACCTCTGTCTCTGCCTTGCTCCTCCAGGTGCCTTTTACGATCACCTTGACTCACTCAACGCCTTCGTCCACGTGGCATCAGGCCATTACGCTCCTTGCTAATATAATAACCGCGACGCCCCCGTTCTCTCTTCCCCCTGACTTCCACACCCCTCCAGGCGCCTTCTACAATCACCTCGACTTCACTCATTTCGACCGCGTGGCATCGGGGCATTACGCCCCTTACTAGTGGCCATTGCAACCCTATACATTCTTCCGTTCACCTTTGCTCTCCTCCAGGTGCCTTTTACGATCACCTCGACTTCACTCATTTCGACCGCGTTGCATTGGGGCATTACGCCCCTTACTAGTGGCCATTGCAACCCTATACATTCTTCCGTTCACTTTTGCTCTCCTCCAGGTGCCTTTTACGATCACCTCGACTTCACTCATTTCGACCGCGTGGCATCGGGGCATTACACCCCTTACTAGTGGCCATTGCAACCCTATACATTCTTCCGTTCACCTTTGCTCTCCTCCAGGTGCCTTTTACGATCACCTCGACTTCACTCATTTCGACCGCGTTGCATCGGGGCATTACGCCCCTTACTAGTGGCCATTGCAACCCTATACATTCTTCCGTTCACTTTTGCTCTCCTCCAGGTGCCTTTTACGATCACCTCGACTTCACTCATTTCGACCGCGTGGCATCGGGGCATTACGCCCCTTACTAGTGGCCATTGCAACCCTATACATTCTTCCGTTCACCTTTGCTCTCCTCCAGGTGCCTTTTACGATCACCTCGACTTCACTCATTTCGACCGCGTTGCATCGGGATATTACGCCCCTTACTAGTGGCCATTGCAACCCTATACATTCTTCCGTTCACCTTTGCTCTCCTCCAGGTGCCTTTTACGATCACCTCGACTTCACTCATTTCGACCGCGTGGCATCGGGGCATTACGCCCCTTACTAGTGGCCATTGCAACCCTATACATTCTTCCGTTCACCTTTGCTCTCCTCCAGGTGCCTTTTACGATCACCTCGACTTCACTCATTTCGACCGCGTTGCATCGGGGCATTACGCCCGAGTTATCCGCTCACCACCACCTGGCCGATCTCACCCCGGCGAGAGTGTTGCTGTGCGCCTGGTCCTGTCTGCAGATGAGGTGAGATATCATCTGAGGCGCCTCAAAACACTTTACTCGTTTGACTGTGTGGCATCGGGGCACTATGCCCGCGTTGTCCCCTCGCTAACTGACCCGTCTCAACCGGGCCAGTCTGCTGCTGCTGTGCGCCTGGTCCTGTCAGCAGACGAGGTGTGTCTGAGGGATCTCAAAGCAATTAATTTAGTCCTGTCTGATGAATATGCTGGCCGGTACCCCGGTTGACCCCTAGCATATTCATTCAATCTAGCAGATTCCTTGAACTAGCACCGTGCAATACAAAAGGTTCTCACTGTCTCACTGTCACGGCGGTCGCCGCTAGTTCAAGGAACCGCCGCTACAAAAGGTTGGTGTGAAGGTGTGGCGACCGCCGTGACTTCACTTATTTCTCTTTCCTTGATCCCTCCCTGCATAGTCTCTGCCACACTGTCTCTGCTCCTTCCTCCTTCCTCTTCTTCTTTCCACTTCATTTTACTCTTTCTACTCCCTTACATGCTCGCGGTTTTAACGCCAGGTGAAGGATCAGACCTACTTCCTCTCGCACCTATCGCAGCAGCAGCTCTCTCGAGTCATGTTTCCCCTTGGAGCCCTCACCAAGGTACGCTCCTCACCAAGGTACGCTCCTCACCAAGGTACGCTCCGCTCAACCTGCCACTTGCCACGTGTCACCCTGTCAACCCGCCCCATGCCACGTGTCACCTTGTTAATTTGCTCCATGCCACGTGTCACCCTTTCAACCCGCCCCATGCCACGCGTCACCCACGCCTTCCCATGTGCAGTCCCAGGTGCGACAGCTGGCAGCGGCGTTCAACCTGCCCAACCAGAGCCGGAAGGACTCCCAGGGGATCTGCTTCCTGGGGAAGGTACGGCCTGGGGAAGGTACGGCCTGGGGAAGGTACGGCCTGGGGAAGGTACGGCCTGGGGAAGGTACAGCCTGGGGAAGGTACGGCCTGGGGAAGGTACGGCCTGGGAAAGTTACGGCCTGGGGAAGGTACGGCCTGGGGAAGGTACGGCCTGGGGAAGGTACGGCCTGGGGAAGGTACGGCCTGGGGAAGGTACGGCCTGGGGAAGGTACGGCCTGGGGAAGGTACGGCCTGGGGAAGGTACGGCCTGGGGAAGGTACGGCCTGGGGAAGGTACAGCCTGGGGAAGGTACGGCCTGGGGAAGGTACGGCCTGGGGAGGGTACGGCCTGGGGAGGGTACGGCCTGGGGAAGGTACGGCCTGGGGAAGGTACGGCCTGGGGAAGGTACGGCCTGGGGAAGGTACGACCTGGGGAAGGTACGGCCTGGGGAAGGTACGGCCTGGGGAAGGTACGGCCTGGGGAAGGTACGACCTGGGGAAGGTACGGCCTGGGGAAGGTACGACCTGGGGAAGGTAGAGCCCTTGCGATAGCTTGCAACCCTGTCCAGTCAAACAGAGCCGAAAGAACTCTCAGGGAATCTGCTTCCTGGGGAAGGATTGATTTAGCCCACTCTCCCCACTCGTTCCTACTCTTGTATCAAATTGCCCAAGCGCCTGTCTACCCTTGTACCTATCCTGTTTTTGTGTCACCGTTCATGTGTACCTACCCTTGTACCTACTCTGTTTCCATTCATGTGTCTGTGTCACCAGGTGAAGTTCCCTGAGTTTGTGGCGCGGCATGTGGGCGAGCAGGAGGGACTGCTGGTGGATGCGGAGAGCGGGGAGACCACATGTTCCTGCTCTTGTACCGAATTGCACACCTGCCTGTCTACCCTTGTACCTATCCTGCTTTTGTATCCCAGGTGAAGTTCCCTGAGTTCGTGGTGCGGCATGTGGGCGAGCAGGAGGGGTTGCTGGTGGAGCCAGAGAGTGGGGATGCGACTTGTTTCACACCCACTTGTTCCTACTCTTGTACCGAATTGCACACCTGCCTGTCTACCCTTGTACCTATCCTGTTTTTGTATCCCAGGTGAAGTTCCCTGAGTTCGTGGCGCGGCATGTGGGCGAGCAGGAGGGGCTGCTGGTGGAGGCGGAGAGCGGGGAGGCCCTGGGCGCGCACAGAGGCTTCTGGTTCTTCACCATCGGGCAGCGGCAAGGCATCAAGCTGTCTGGGGGACCGTGGTGAGTGAGGGAATGGCGAGACGGATGTTGAGAGAGACGCCTGGCTGCGCACACGCAGAGAGCGGGGAGGCCCTGGGGGTGCACAGAGGCTTCTGGCTCTTCACCATCGGGCTGCGGCAAGGCATCAAGCTGTCTGGAGGGCCGTGGTGAGTAAGGGAGGGAGTGTGTGGTTCACTCACCCCTCTGACTGTCGTTCATTCATCTCACATGCGCACACAGCACAGGGAGGCCCTGGGCGTGCACACAGAGGGGGGAGGCCCTGGGGTCACACACTGGCTTCTGGTTCTTCACCATCGGGAAGCAGCGGCAAGGCATCAAGCTGTCTGGGGGACCATGGTGAGTGAGTGCTGCTGCTGCTGTGTGCATGCCATTCTTTAGTTCATTCACCACCACCAGCCCCCACCCCCCCCACACACACACATAGTGGGGAGGCCCTGGGGGTGCACAGGGGCTTCTGGCTCTTCACCATCGGGCAGCGGCAGGGCATCCAGCTGTCTGGGGGGCCGTGGTGAGCGAGGGAGGGTGTGTGTATCGTTTATTCACCCCTCTCACACGCGCACACAGCACAGGGAGGCCCTGGAGGTGCACAGGGGTTTCTGGTCCTTGACCATTGGGCAGTGACAAGGCATCAAGCTGTCTGGGGGACCGTGGTGAGCACGGGCTGCTGTGTGTGCCGTTGATGGTGTTTGCTCTAATCTAAGCTCACAGTACAGTGAAACCCAGGGCACGTGCAGGGGCTTGTTTTGAGGCGCCTCTAAACCCAGGGCACGTGCAGGGACTTGTTTTGAGGCGCCTCTAAACCCAGGGCACGTGCAGGGGCTTGTTTTGAGGCGCCTCTAAACCCAGGGCACGTGCAGGGACTTGTTTTGAGGCGCCTCTAAACCCAGGGCACGTGCAGGGGCTTGTTTTGAGGCGCCTCTAAACCCTGGGCACGTGCAGCGGCTTGTTGCCTGGGGCCGCCAACACGGTCTTTCTCTCGCACAACTACCTGTCACCAGCCATTTCTCGCTGACAGGTATTCACACTTGTTCTAATCTCACATAACCCGCATCTCTCTTCTTTCCCCTCTTTGTCCCACCTGCCCCCCTCACCAGGTACGTTGTTGCCAAAGACACGGCCACTAACACAGTCTTTGTATCCCGTGACTACCACTCACGCAGTTCTGTTATCCGTTGCCCCATTCCCCCTCTCCCCTCCCCCCCCCCCCCTCACCAGGTACGTTGTTGCCAAAGACACGGCCACTAACACAGTCTTTGTATCCTGCGACTACCACTCACGCAGTTCTGTTATCCGTTGCCCCATTCGCCCTCTCCCCTCCCTTCCCCCCCTCACCAGGTACGTTGTTGCCAAAGACACGGCCACTAACACAGTCTTCGTATCCCGCGACTACCACTCGCCAGCCAAGTCCCGGCGGCAGTTCTGGGTGGGCGGGTTCAGCTGGACGCAGGGAGGGGAATGCACCCCTCCTTTGAGTGAACGGCCAAATCTGACGTGCAAGGTGAGGCTCTCGAAAGCCCCAGCAGATCAGGGAACAAGCAGGCGACTCCCACTCACCTGCTAAATCTCGCCGGCAGGTTTGGGTGGGCGGGTTCAGCTGGACGCAGGGAGGGGCGTGCGCCCCTCCTTTGAGCGACAGCCCAACCTCACTTGCAAGGTGAGAGCAGGGAGCAAGGCAGCACCCACCCACCACACTAGTCCACCAAGTCTCGCCTGCAGTTGTGGGTGGGCGGGTTCAGCTGGACTCAGGGTGGCGAGTGCACCCGTCCTTTGAGTGAACGGCCAAATCTGACGTGCAAGGTGAGAGCAAGCAAGCAAGCAGTGTGAGAGCAGGGAGCAAGGCAGCACCCACCCACCCACCACACTCGCCCACCAAGTCTCGCCGGCAGTTCTGGGTGGGCGGGTTCAGCTGGACGCAGGGAGGGGAGTGCAGCCCTGCTTTGAATGGTCGACCCAATTTCATTTGTAAGTGCAGTGGTGGGCAGGCAATTCCTCCCTCCACATGTATGAGAAGCAAGGTAAGAGCAAGTGCCCGCTTGCGCGCATGAAAGGGTGTGCGTGCACACACGCAACCATGTCCTTTCATGAACATGAAATACCACGTTTTTATTCTTCCTCCATTCCCCCTTTCCCACCACCGACCCAACCTCCCCCCCCCCCCCAATCCCCGCCTTCCCACTCCCCTCCTCTGGTCTCTTCCTCCAGGTCCACCATGGCCCCCAGTTCTACCCCTGTTCTTCAATGGGCGTCTGCTCCTGTCCCCATTTGTGCCCGTTCCCCCCCCCTTCTTTCCCCACTATACCCCCCCTCTCTCCAGGTCCGCCACGGCCCCCAGTTCTACCCCTGCTCTGTACAGTTTGCTGAACTGCCAGCGTCCATGCGTCCCGATGGAATGAACCTTCCGCCAGCAGAAACAGGATCAGCAGTAGAGGAAGCAGCAGCAGTGGAGGCAGGAGCAGAAGTAGAGGCAGAAGCAGCAACATTGGCAGAAGCAGAAGCAAAAGCAGCAGAAGCAGAAGCAAAAGCAGCAGAAGCAGCAAGAGAAGGAGAGGCAGCAGCAGTGGCAGCGCTGGTGACCCTCTCCCAGGACGATCAGGGCCTGGCTGCCGGCCAGTTTGCCAGGCAGGTAGCAGCAGGAAGGGCAGCAGCAGGAGAAACCGCAGCGCTGGTGACCCTCTCCCAGGACGATCAGGGCCTGGCTGCGGGCCAGTTTGCCGCCTTCTATGATGGCGTCACGTGCCTCGGGTCGGGCGTCATCATTGGCGTGCCGCCCGGGGACGACAGTGCGGGCGGCATGAGTGGCGACAGCAGCAGCAGCACAGTGCAGGACCAGCAGAGACCTGAGCAGGGGCTAGGTTCTGAAGCAGAGGAGGGGCAGGAGAAGAGGAAGGGACCTGTGTCAGCTGCAGCGTGGGAGACGGCAAGGCGAGGGCTGGCAGGGGTGAGGATTGGTAAGCTGAAACCACCCAAGACTGTGGAGAAAGGGAGTGGGAAGGTGGGGGGTGAGGGAGTGAGAGAGGAGGGGATGGGGAAAGGAAGGGGGGAGGGGAATGAGGTGGGGAGTGGTGAGAAGAGGAAGAGGAGGAGGGAGAGAGCAAGTCGAGGGAGGCCTGAGGCGCAGCTAGGCCAACAAGACCTTGAAGTGCAGGCAAGTGCTGGTGATTGCCAACCAGCAGAAATGGTCACAAAACGACATTAGCTGAATAAAAGAAAATGATTCTGGTAATTTTGTGTTTCGTGTTTGTTTATGCGATTTTGTAGTCCGATGTTTGGATCATGACGTGAAATAAGGTTTTTTCCAGGCCAACCTAAGAGATTGGTGATGAGTTCATCCTATAAGCACTATATTATTTGCGTGTATGAACTGCTAATATCGCGTATTTCCGGACTTCCCAGAGGTCGCCTTCCTTTGGCGTGTCAGAACCGCGTCGCGTCTCTCAAGCAGATGTCAGATCGACATATCTTTCACTTCTTGCCTGCTTCTTGTTCCAATCAAGTCAATCAGATGTACGCAGGTATTTATGTCCTAGTTTCCATCCCGAAGTGAGATACTGCTGAGGAGTAAGCACACACTTTCAAGCCGTTCTGCTTGGTAAAAGGGAAAGCTTAAGTAAGGTGAATGGAGTGACCCAATATTTCAGGCCGTTCTCCTCTTTCCGCGTTTCCATGTCGTTTGAGCCGTGTATCAACCGCGAGCCTCTTTGAGATGAACCGTCGAAATTTAGAAAAGCGCGAATTGATATAGTCGTATAATCTTAGCTCATACCTGCAGTTGGTTCTACTCCTAGTAATAGCTGAAGAGACGACGGATAGTCTTGCGTGAGAAACTTGCGATCGTGCGTCTGTACGCATTTAGATCCCCTCCTTGTTTCCACATCCTGCATGCTGTGAAGTCTTTTCATGCTGCACACCCTTGGGTTTTAGGTGTATATATTCAGTTCTTGAGGCGTTCCGAAGACTCGTTACATTGTCCTACTAGCAGGTGTACATATTGACTTTTACCCTACACAACCTTGGCCTTCTGAATCTGTACTGTCCAGGGTTAAGACTCTAGGGGCCTTCAGCCGTCGTGTAACTTGACAGTGAAGTTACATGTTTAACGAGAGCGATCTTGTAGCGAGTCCATGATCGAGCCGCGTTGAAACGGTTAAGGGAAGGTTTGAACCAGCGGAGTGCGTTGTCACACCAATAAGCAGCCATGGGTTGCTGTATATCGCGTACAAACGGTGCAGGACACCGTCAAGAAACTGCAACGCTTAACGGAGAAGCTAATAACGGAGCAGCGGTCCTGTTTCAACAGCAGGGCAGCACGCGGCAACAGTCCTTAGTAACTCCTTCCCAGAAACTAGTTGGTGCAGTGACAGCAGCACGACCGTCGGAACCATCAGCAGCGTCTGCACCGGCACCTGTAGCAGTACCAGCAGCAGCAGCAGCAACAGCAGCAGGGGCAACAGGGGTAATACCAGCAACAGCACCAGCGGCAGCACCAGCGACAGCAGCGTCTAGCATCCCCAACACCCCCATCGCTGTCTCCTCTTCAGACCCTCCCCCTCTCCCTTTCCCTCTCCCTATGGTGGTTCTAGACGATCCAGTGGAGGAGGCTATAGCGCGTATGAAGGCTGACGACGCCACGCCAGACCCTGCCGCCCTGCTGCTGCAGCGGCCAGAGCTAGGGGATGTTGCCCCGGGAATGGGGGGATTACTGGGTTTAGCCTCTTTCAGGGTTCGCGGGGAGGAGTGGGAGGGAGGTTTGGGGCTGGAAGGGAGGGGAGGAGAGGGGAGTGGGGGGGAGGGGAGAGCGGAGGGTGATTCTTTTGGAGGTGGCTATAACGAGGATGGGAATGTGATTGATTTGGAAGGGGTGCTGGATGGAGGGGAGGAGGAGGAGGAGGAGGAGGAGGAGGAGGAGGAGGAGGAGGAGGAGGAGGAGGAGGAGGAGGAGGAGGAGGAGGAGGAGGGGGATGAGGGGGGGATTGATATGGGTGATTTTCTAGCGGGGTTAGAAGGGGACGAGAGGGAGGAGGGTGGAGAAAGGGAGGAGGAGGGAGAAGGGGAGGAGGACGAGAGGGAGGAGGGGGAGGAAAGGGGAGAGGGAGGGGGGCGAGTGGGAGGAACTGAGTTGGCGTTGGGGGAGGAGGAGGGGGAGTGGGGCAAGGCGTTGGGAGACGAACTGGAAAGGGGAAGGACGATGGGAAGAGAAACGGAAGAGGGGAGGCTAGAGGCACCAGGGAAGGAAAATGGAGAGCTCGTGGTGGAGAGGGGTGAGATAAGAGAGAGAATCGGTGGTGAGCGATGCAAAGCGGTGGAGGGAGGTGGAGCAGGAGGAGTAGAAGGAAGGGAATATCTAGAACAAGGAGCGAGAGGCAATGGTTTTGAGGTGGAGGGAGGGACATACTCAGCGGAGCAAGAGCAGCAGAGAGGAGGGATTTCAGAAAGGGAGCAGATACAGTCAGAATTACTTCTGAGGCACCATGAAAGTCCCCAGGGAGGGGCATACTCAGCGGAGCAGCAGAGGGATAGGGATGTGCCTTTAGAAGGGGGGCAGAGACAGTCAGAAGAGATGGTGACTTTGGATAGAGATGATTCTCGTGGTGCTTTTACTGGCACTTTGGGGTGTGACAATCATGAGGGTGACAATAGGGAGAGTGACAAAGGGGAGAGTGGTCACGCCTTGGGTGGTGCTAACGGTCACTTGGAGGGTACCTTTCAGCAGCTTAACGAATCAGAGAGGCGGCACTATAACGAGGATGATGTGGATATGGAGGCATTAGAGGAGCTGCTGCAGCTGTGTGCTGATGATGGTGATGGTGATGATGATGGTGATGGTGATGATGGTGGTGATGGTGATGGCGATGATGGTAATGGTGATGGTAATAGTGATGGTCATGGTGATGGTGACAGGGGCACAACTGTCAGGCATGGATTCTCTTCTGAAGCTCCTCAAAACGGCTTTCCAACTGACCTTCAACACGAGCCACTGGTATCAGAGCAGCAGAGACATGACCTGGTGGCTGACCGAAACACAGATTTCCCTCATGTGACCCCCGTTGCTGACCGAAGCACTGATATCCCTCTTGCTAGCAACCACTCCTCTGCTCCTGTGAGCAACACTCCCCTCTCTCCTGAGAGCGATCCCATACAAGCAGCCTCGTTAGCAGCAGAGCGGTCGCTGGCAGCAGTGGCGGGGATAGCAGCGGAGTGCTTGGAGCGGGAGCTGAGTCGGTTTGAGGTGATCTGCCCGCCTAGCGGGGAGCAGCTGGTGGTGCTTTATGTGACGTCTCTTGAAGCCGTCAGGAAGACGCATGCTGACTGCGTGAAGATGCGAGCATTGCTCAAGGTAAGCGGTTTGCCAAATTGATGATGAGCTGAGTCGGTTTTTAGGTGATATGCCCGCCTGGAGGGGAGGAGCTGGTGGTGAAAGCTGTTAGGAAGGCGCACGCTGACTGTGTGAAGATGAGAGCACAGCTCAAGGTAAGTGGCTTGCTCACTGTTATTAGTGTATGGAAGAGGGGCGGGTCAGGGCGGGGGACGTGGCGGTGGTGCTGCATGTGATGTCGCTGGAGGCTGTGAGGAAGGCGCATGCTGACCGTGTGAAGATGCGGTCATTACTCAAGGTGAGTGGCTTGCCGGTGCAAGTGTCTGTTTGAAAGAGAAGCAGAGAGGTGAACTGCCCGCCATGAAGGCACGCAGCCTAGCCTATCTCCATACATCCTACCACTTATCTCCCTTCCAGTCTCTTTGTCCCCCCTCCTTTTTCCAACCTTTCCCCAACCCGTCCGCCACCCTGCCTCCCACCAATCAGAGCCTTCACCTGTGCTTCCAGGAGCAAGACGTGGCGTCACACCCAGCCTATCAGGACGAGCTGCTGCTGCTATTGATTCTCTTGCACCCCGACCCTTCCAACCCCTGTCACCCCCCGCCCTTCCTCACTCGCTTCCAACCAATCAGAGCCTTTATTTGAGATTTCAGGAGCGTGATGTGGCACCACACCCAGCCTATCGGGACCACCTGCTGCTGCCGTTCGATCTCCATGCAACCTCCCACTTCTCCTTTCTCCCGATCAGGAAGCCGTTTTTGTTTTTCCAGTCAAGTGCGTCCCCTTCCCCTACCCTTCCCACCCCCCTTGCCCCCACACTCTCCCTCCCTTTTTGTCACGTACCTCTGCCAATCAGAGCCTTCACCTGCGATTCCAGGAGGGTGACGTGGCGCTACATCCAGCCTATCAGGACGAGCTGCTGCTGCTATTGATTCACTTGCACCCTTACCCTCCCACCCCCTGCTTCCCCCACCCTTCCTCACTCGCTTCCAACCAATCAGAGCCTTCATTTGAGATTTCAGGAGCGTGACGTGGCGCTACACCCAGCCTATCAGGACGAGCTGCTGCTGCTATTCGCGGGGGACATGCCACGTGTCCCGCAGCTATTCGTGCGCGGGCGGCACGTGGGCGGCACGGAGGCAGTGCTACAGTTGTACGAGGAAGGGGCGCTAGACGCCCTGGTCGTCTGGCTCAAGGCAGCGGGCGGCGGCGCGGCTAGTGCGCGGCGTAGTTTGTCTGTTAGTGCTGCTTCTGCTGCTGGTGCTGGTGGTGGTTCTTCTGTTGGTGCGGGTGGGAGTGTGTGTAGGGGTTGCGGGGACGCACGGTTTGTTCCCTGCAGCCATTGCCATGGAAGCAGGAAGGTAGCTTCTGGGGGTGGTGGTGCTGGTGGTGGGGTGGGTGGGTTTGTAGAGTGTGATGTGTGTAACGAGAATGGACTGACATTGTGTCATAGTTGTAATGGGGTGGCCAGATGAGTGTAGCTATTTTGCTTTACTACGATTCCCGTTAGAAGAAACATGTCTTTCTTTGTGCGCATTTTGCATTACAATCTGCACTGTACATGTGTACGGTACACTCCCCGTGTCGCATCACATCCGCAACCATGATTCGCACACATGCAAATGCCGACATTCATCTCATGTATCGAATTCGTTTTATTAAAGGCAACAGCCATGCTCAGCTGCTTTTAGGTAAGCAGCATAAGAATGTTGCAACACTATGTACAAATGATGGGACCACGACTAGCTTGTAACGGAACACATTGTATGGAGCTGTGTTGATGGTACTTTCACCACTCCGCTGCTTCCCTTCCCTCCCCTTGCACGAGTTCCCCTCCACTACTCTCCCCTCCTCCACTACCCTCCTCCACTACTCTCCCCTCCTCCACTACTCTCCCCTCACACCGATCCTCTTGTGCAACCTCACAGCCACATGCCTTGATCCCGCTCGCGCCTCTCTCCCTGCCTGCCTGCCGGTCTGCTGCACCACCCACTCCTCAAATGGCGTCCCCAGGAGCCACCAACTGGCCTGGGACATGGGCCTGCTCACAGCCACACGCCTTGCCCTCTGCCTACCTGCCTTGGCCTTGCCCCACCCGTGCCTGCCTGCCCGTCTGCTGCACCACCCACTCCTCAAATGGCGTGCCCAGTTTCCACCAGCTGGCAGTCCGCTTGGATGCATCCAGAACGCGCGGGCCCGGGGCGTGGGCTTGCTTGCATGCCTTTCTCTCTCTCTACCTACCCTTGCCTTTGCCCCAACCGAGTCTGCCTGTGCGTCTGCTGCACCACCCACTCCTCAAATGGCGTCCCCAGGAGCCACCAACTGGCCTGGGACATGGGCCTGCTCACAGCCACACGCCTTGCCCTCTGCCTACCTGCCTTGGCCTTGCCCCACCCGTGCCTGCCTGCCCGTCTGCTGCACCACCCACTCCTCAAATGGCGTGCCCAGTTTCCACCAGCTGGCAGTCCGCTTGGATGCATCCAGAACACGCAGGCCCGGGCGTGGGCTTGCTGGCAGACCTACAGCCTATTTTTCACCTGCCTGCCCCTCTCCCTGCCTGCCTGTGCGTCTGCTGCACCACCCACTCCTCAAACGGTGTGCCCAGGTTCCACCAGCTGGCAGTGCGCTTGGAAGCATCCAGAACGCGCGGGCCCGGCGCATGGGCTTGTCCCAGGGCGCTGTGGCGAATTCCGTATGCGAGGTAAACGAGTGCTCCTATGGCGAGCCACGAGGAGGAGTAGAGCCACGTGGTGGCACTGGGAGGTGGGAAGAGACAGGGGAGTTGGGGAACGACAGGGGAAGGTGATTGAGAGGAAGGGGAGATGAAAGAGGGCCCGGCGTGTGGGCCTGCCCCAGAGCACTGTGGCGGATTCTATATGCGAGGTAAACGAGTGCTCCTATAGCGAGCCACGAGGAGGAGTAGAGCCACGTGGTCGCACTGGATGGTAGGGAGTGGGGGGGAAGGAGAGCGAGGGGCGGGAGGAAGGCGAGAGACGTAAGAGGGCCCAGCGCGGGGGCTTGCCCGACAGCACTGTGGCTAGTTTTGGGTCGACTCAATACCCGGTGTGTGGGCTTGCCCCAGAGCACTATGGGCTTGCCCGACAGCACTATCGCAAGGTGACTTTTGAATCGACTCAAAAGTCACCTAGGGCCAAGCCTGTGGGCTTGCTCGACAGCACTATCTGGTTTTTGAGAATTCTCAAAAACCCGGCGCGTGGGCTTGCCCGACAGCACTATCGCGAATTCCGTTGGCGAGGTAAACGACCGAGTGGCTTTACTCCGGTGTGACGAGGATGCTGGCGAGGAGAAGGGAACCACACTCCCTCCCAGGGGCACTAGCACCGTGCTTGACTCTGCTTGACTCTGCTTGACTATGGTTGACTAGGGTTGACTCGTACCCACCCCATGTTCGCCATGAGATACACGCTGACGAGGATGCTGGCGAGGGGAACACCCAAGGGCACTGGCACCCTGCAAGAAGGGCGTTGACCCTGGTTGACCTTTGTTGACTTTCTTGACTTTGCTTGGCTCAGCTTGCATAAGCTTGACTTTCTTTACTTGCCCCCTCACCCCAGATTTGCGTTACGGTATGCCAGGAAAAAGATCTGCTTATGAGTCGACTCAAAAGCTGAGTCGACTCAAATGCGATAAGGTATACCTTGACAAGGATATGCTGGCAAGGAGTGCAAAGCAACAAAGCTTCAACAGACGCCAAAGGGTGGTCGAAAGCTAGTCCTAGGAAACGTTAAGAGTCACATAGAGCCATAAACAATCATGGAGAAAAGAATCCCGGTGCACTTCTGTAGCACGTTCGGCTACGTGTACAAGTGGAAGAGAGAACCTTATCAACCCTTCAGTAGCATGTACGTGTACGTTCGAACCCGCTACTGAAGTGCGCTGGGATCCTTTGCTCCATGCGCTGAATTTCAATGCCTCCATGCGACTCTTGAAGTTTTCGAGGACTAGCTTTCGATCACCCGTCAGCACCCATAAGCACCCTCTAGAACCCTGGGAGGAGGGCATGACTCTGGTTGACTCGTACTCACCCAGGATGGCCATGAGATACACGTTGACAACGATGCTGGCAAGGGGAAACCACAGCACTGGCACCCTAGGAGAAGGGTGTTGACTCTGCTTGACTCACTTTGACCTGCTCTCACTCACCCTAAATTGGCCATGAGGTAGACGTTGACCAGGATGCTGGCGAGGGGAAGCCACGGCACCCGGCATTGACTCTAATTGAAATGCTTGACTCTGTTGACCTGTGAGGCTTGTACTCACCCTAAATTGGCCATGAGATACACGTTGACCAGGATGCTGGCAAGGGGAAGCCACGGCACCCAGGGACAGTGGAACCCTGAGAGAGGGCGTTGACTCTGGTTGACTCTGGTTGATCTGGTTGACTCGTACTCACCCTAAATTGGCCATGAGATAGACGTTGACAAGGATGCTGGCAAGGGGAAGCCATGGCACCCAGGGACAGTGGAACCCTGGAGAGTGGTTTTTGTTCGAACAGGGAGTAGGGGTGGGAAAAAGGGGGAGGTGGAGGAAGAGTGGGAAAGGTCTATTTAGACGTCTGGGAAAGTTAAGGATACAGGAGAGGGGAAGGCACGGCAACAACGGACACTAGAACCCTGAAAGGTTGATAGTGAGTCAAACTTTTGAGAATTCTCGGAAGTGACTCATGGAATCTTGGAAAATTAAAATTTGAATTCGAGTGTGTAATCCGCCTCACCTCCTGCTGATCCGAACTGGTGCCTTCCTTCGTCCTCATTGATACATCCAAACGTTGCTGCCCCCCCGAGGAACAGTGCACCACCCAGAGAGAATAGTAGGAGAGGAAGCCAACTGGTGGGAGTGGGGACGGGAGAAGGAACAGAAGAAAGAAGAGAGAGGAGAGGATGGGGGACAGGAGAGAGGGTAGGTGACAGGGAGGAGGGTAGGGGACAGGGAGAGGGGGTGTGGTGGAGGAGACATGGGACAGTTGGCAAGGGAGAGAATTCAGCAGTAGTGGCAGCTGGCCTCTTGCGCCACTGTGCACAGGCGTTGCTATATTCATTAGAGAGATATGGATGTGTGTCTGCAGCATAACCTGTATTTCTTACCCTGACAAGCTGTGTAAAGAGGGGAAGCGTTACCACTCACTCTGAACTGGGACTGAACTGGGGAGGTCAGCAGAAGACGAAGCCACAGCAGCAGCATTGGCAGCAGAAGTGGCCACGGCAGCAGACGCTGGAAGGAGGAGAATCGTTACTCACTCTGAGAAGCTGTTTAGAAACGGGAAGCGTTGCAACTCACTCTGAAAGGTCAGCGGAAGACGAAGCCACAGCAGCAGCAGCGCCAAGCAGAGGGGCACCCAGGGAGACGGCAACGATGGCTCGAGAGGCCAGGCGTCTGTGCTGTGGGATGTGAGGCTGTGGAGAGGGGGGGGTGATTACTCACTTTGCTGTACTGGGGAGGTCAGCAGAATCCGCAGCAGCAGCAGCGGCCACCCCAAGGAGTGGGGCTCCCAGCGAGACAGCAACGATGGCTCGAGAGGCCAGGCGTCTGTGGGATGTGGGTGCAGTGGCGGCTGTAGCAGCTGTAGCGGCTGTAGCAGGACCTGTCACAGCAGGTGTGGCTGTAGCAGTGACTGTAGTAGGTGTGATAGCAGTGGGGTGAGCAGAATCCTGTTTCCTGACTCCTAGAGTGTTGCCCCCAGTGGCAATGTCAACGGCAGCTTCATCACCCATTCCCCTCGGTACTGTGGCATTGTATTCGGTGGAAAGGTTTGCTGTATGGTGCTGCTTCTCCTCTTCTCGCTCTTCCCCTCCCACCTCCTCCCCTTCCTCATCCCCTCCCTCTTCCTCACTCTCCTCCTCCTCCTCCCCTCTTCCGTCCTCCCTCTCCTCCTCATCCCCTCCCTCCTCCCCCTCCCCCTCTTCCGCCCTCTCTTCAAGCAATCGAGCCAGCAGTGGTGCTTGAAACGAGTTGGGCGTGAGGGAAAACACGGACTGCAGCTGGCCGTTGGATCGGATTTCAACGGCCGGAGATGTACCCAGGCTGTCCGGCGAGCCCATGTGCCTGAACACACTGGATTGGCCGACCGGGAGCGGGGAAGAGACAAAAAAACCCACCCCTGCGGCGGCAGTTGGAAGGGAGGATGTTATATACTGGGGTCGAGTGGGGGGAGAGAAGGTATAGGCTGGTAGGGGGCGGGAGGAGGAGGATGTGGGGTGGTAAAGCTGGTTGTTGGAGGAAGAAGAGGAGGAGGGGAGTGAAGGGGGGTGTGAGGAGGGGAGAGGGGTGGGAGGAGAGGAGGGAGGGGTGTAGCGAAGGATGAGGACTGAGAGGCTGACAGTGGTGAATGCGAGAAGGGTGCCCACACTGACCTGGTGTGGGCATGGGGGAGGCAGACAGGGAGAGAGGAGGAATGGAGGCGAAAGTGAGTGGAGGAGGATGGGAGAAAGAGTTTAGATCAAAGAAGGATGAGGAGTGAGAGGCTGACAGTTGTGAAGGCGAGGAGAGTGCCCACACTGACCTGGTGTGGGCATGGGTGGGGGGGAAAGGGGGATGGACAGGAGACGGTGATAATGAACGGTATTTGCAGTTGATGGGTATGTGCAGCGAAGGATGCGGACACTGACGGTGGTGAAGGCGAGGAGAGTGCCGACACTGACCTAGTGTTAGCATGGGGGAGGAAGACAGGGAGAGAGGAGTGCGAGAGAAAGGGAGGAGATGGGCAGATGATCAATCACTGAAGGATGAGGGCTGAGAGGCTGACAGTGGTGAATGCGAGGAGGGTTGGTTGGAAGGAAGAAGAGGGTAAGAATAGACAAGATGACTCTGAAAACCATGCCATGATTACGCCCCCCTCCTCACCATGGTCCCACTTAGCCCCCCTCCCGCCCCCTCTCCCACCACCCCCTTCCAACCCACCATGCCTGACAGCTGCCCGATATCCAGCACAAACGCCATGGCGGCGGCCAATAGCCCATGCGAGCTATGCTGCCCATGCATGCTCCCCATGCTGTGCATGCTCCCCATGCTGTGCATGCTCCCCATGCTGTGCATGCTCCCTATGCTGCCCATGCATGCTCCCCATGCTGCCCATGCTCATGTGATGAGACGATTTTTGAGTCGGCTCAAAAATCGACCGCACCCTACCCATGCTCCCCATGCTCGTCACATGTAAACGCCGCACGGAAAATCCTGCTCCTGTTCCCCCCTTCCCCCCACGCACCATGCCTGACAGCTGCCCGATATCCAGCACGAACGCCATGGCGGCGGCCAATAGCCCGGTGACAGCTGTCGCGTTCTGAGGTACGCCCGTGGCCTTGTCGATGCGGCCAAACCAAGCTGGGAGGAGGCCGTCGCGAGCCATGACCATGAGTATGCGCGGCTGTGGGGGAGGGGGGAGAAGGGGGAAGGGGTGTGAGGAGGAGAGTGAGGCGCATCACAAATGGAACCAGGCAGGGAGGAGGCCGTCCCGCGCCATCACCATGAGGATGCGCGGCTGGGGAGGGGGGAGGGAGGGGAGTGTGTGGGTCATGTATGGGGAGTGTATATGGCGTGTGATGGAACCAGCAGGTGGAGATGCGACCAGCACCCGAAGCAGCAGGGACTCGAGCAATTATCCATACCAGACAAATGGGAAAAGTGCTTAAATCTATCAGATGCAAATAGGGGCAGCAGGTGAGATGCGCATGCATGGCACCTACCACCTGTCGTGAGATGCGCATGCATGGCACCTACCTGGGGCAGCAGGGATCCGAGGAGAGTGGTGGAGAGAGCTGCGAGCGCACCCCCTGTCACAAGGTACCTGCAATACAAGCACATGTGCGGTACAGGCACATTTAAGCTACGAGAACATGTGAGGCGTCTCAAAGTTGGAGAGAGCTGCAAGCGCACCCCCTGTTACAAGGTACCTGTGATACAAGCACAAGTAACATACGAACACGTGTGCTGCAGTACATGCAGATATGTCATATGCTATACAATCACGTATCTCGCGATTTGCACAGTTTCATCTCACACATATGAGGTGCATCCACTCGATGACTCTCTCACTCTCTTACACATATGCACACTCTCTCACTCTCTTACACATATGCACACTCTCTCACTCTCTTACACATATGCACACTCTCTCACTCACTCGCTTGACCCACTCTAGGTGGTACGTCTGGAACGCCTGAGATTTGAGGCAACACACTCTCTCACTCACTCCCTCACTCACACTGTCAATTACTCTCTCACGTCACTCCCTCACTCACTCTGTCCATCACCCTCTCACGTCACACTTTGCCCAGTGATGAAGTTGTACCACTCCATGGTGTCCAGGGCAAAGTGCCCAGTCCAGGTGGTACGTCTCGAAGGCCTGAGCCATGGGCGTGTCAGGGTCAATGCGGTCAAACGGAGTCGACCCCACCAGCATCACCACTCCCTCACACCCTCCCTCTCCCACTTACTTGGCCCAATCCAAATGGTAGGTGTCAAACGCCTGAGCCATGGGTGTGTCCGGGTCAATGCAGTCAAACGGAGTCAGCCCCACCAGCACCGCTGCTATCACCATGTAGAGAGCGCCACAGCAGGTAAGGGACAGGCCTATCCCCAAAGGCAGGTCGCGCTGAGGGTGCTTCACCTGCGTATAGGGAATCGGGGAAAGGGAATTGGGGAATAGACAAGCGTAAATATAGGCAGGTAGACCGTAGAGTGGCGATATCACCATGTAGAGAGCGCCACAGAGCGTCAGGGAAAGGCCTATGCCGAGAGGCAGGTCCCTCTGAGGATGCTTCACCTGTGTTTAGGGAATTGGGGAGGGGAGAGCTTTGGGAGGAAAGAAGAGGAGGGTTAGTGTGGGAAGGGAGAGTGCCGGTAGCTATGGTAGGACGAGTGTGGCCCTATCACCAGGTAGAGAGGGGAGAGAGAGCTGCAGCACGTCAGCAACAGGCCTATTCCTTGAGGCAGGTCACGTTGAGTGTGCTTCATCTGTATCAAGCACGATATTCAAAGAATCAAATGCTAGCAAGCTGATTGAAGCCACACACGTACGTGAAATGGTGATAGTAGTGTTTTGAGACGTCTCAAAACACTCCTTCTTTCACGTGATAGTAGTGTTTTGAGACGTCTCAAAACACTCCTTCTTTCACGTGATAGTAGTGTTTTGAGACGTCTCAAAACACTCCTTCTTTCACGTGATAGTAGTGTTTTGAGACGTCTCAAAACACTCCTTCTTTCACGTGATAGTAGTGTTTTGAGACGTCTCAAAACACTCCTTCTTTCACGTGATAGTAGTGTTTTGAGACGTCTCAAAACACTCCTTCTTTCACGTGATAGTAGTGTTTTGAGACGTCTCAAAACACTCCTTCTTTCACGTGATAGTAGTGTTTTGAGACGTCTCAAAACACTCCTTCTTTCACGTGATAGTAGTGTTTTGAGACGTCTCAAAACACTCCTTCTTTCACGTGATAGTAGTGTTTTGAGACGTCTCAAAACACTCCTTCTTTCACGTGATAGTAGTGTTTTGAGACGTCTCAAAACACTCCTTCTTTCACGTGATAGTAGTGTTTTGAGACGTCTCAAAACACTCCTTCTTTCACGTGATAGTAGTGTTTTGAGACGTCTCAAAACACTCCTTCTTTCACGTGATAGTAGTGTTTTGAGACGTCTCAAAACACTCCTTCTTTCACGTGATAGTAGTGTTTTGAGACGTCTCAAAACACTCCTTCTTTCACGTGATAGTAGTGTTTTGAGACGTCTCAAAACACTCCTTCTTTCACGTGATAGTAGTGTTTTGAGACGTCTCAAAACACTCCTTCTTTCACGTGATAGTAGTGTTTTGAGACGTCTCAAAACACTCCTTCTTTCACGTGATAGTAGTGTTTTGAGACGTCTCAAAACACTCCTTCTTTCACGTGATAGTAGTGTTTTGAGACGTCTCAAAACACTCCTTCTTTCACGTGATAGTAGTGTTTTGAGACGTCTCAAAACACTCCTTCTTTCACGTGATAGTAGTGTTTTGAGACGTCTCAAAACACTCCTTCTTTCACGTGATAGTAGTGTTTTGAGACGTCTCAAAACACTCCTTCTTTCACGTGATAGTAGTGTTTTGAGACGTCTCAAAACACTCCTTCTTTCACGTGATAGTAGTGTTTTGAGACGTCTCAAAACACTCCTTCTTTCACGTGATAGTAGCCTACATATAATCAGCTGTGCTTTCACGAATGTCGGATGTGTCAGAACTAGAGCTTAGTATTCATGCACTAGTAATGAGCTCAAGGCTCTTTAAGTACATCGGAAATGGGCAAGGTAAGGATGGGGAGAGAATCGGGGGCAATCTTAGGGGATTGGGGGTAATCCCAAGGCAATCTCCAATTGGTGGGTTGGAGATTGCTTGGAGATCACATTTGGGTTTGGTTAGGATGTAAGTGTAGACCCAACCAAACACAATGTGCACACTACACTAAGATACTAAAGTGCAGGTACAAAATGTGAGATTGAGGGCTAACACTAACAGGATGATCCAGCGTAAGTCAAGAGATGTAAGAGAAAAATGCCATTGAGTTAACAGCTAGCATGCCATTAGTGCCCTCGAGTCACTTACCATGCCTCTTCTTCTGTGCTTGCAACAGTGTCAACTCAAATATAACGTGTGAAAAGAAGCAAGATCAAGTTCAATTCAGCATACATAGGCGAGTTCACTGTTCACTTAGCATACATAGGCGAGTTCACTGTTCACTTAGCATACATAGGCGAGTTCACTGTTCACTTAGCATACATAGGCGAGTTCACTGTTCACTTAGCATACATAGGCGAGTTCACTGTTCACTTAGCATACATAGGCGAGTTCACTGTTCACTTAGCATACATAGGCGAGTTCACTGTTCACTTAGCATACCTCTTCTGCTGTGCTGGCTACGGTGTCGAACCCAATGTACGAGAAAAATGCCATTGCAGCTCCCCCCAGCAATCCCGACACTCCGAATGGTAGATAGCTGGAATAGAAAAGGCGAGATGGGGGAGAAGCAGGGGAAGGAGGGCAAAACGAAAGCAAAGAAGGTAATCCCAGCTAGCATTCCAGGCACACCGAACGGTACATAAACTGGGATTGAGAGCAAAGATGGAAATGTAAGTGATTACACACCTTCTCAGGGAAATGAACAGCAAAGAAAAGTAAGAATTTTGCCACACGAGGGCTTGGAAACTCAGAAAGGAATGGTAAGGGTCTGAGTTTGCTTTAAGAGTTTAAATGAAAGGAAACATAACAGGGTTTTGAGATGACTCAAAACATGGAGACAGATGGAGGGGAGGTGAGGGCACATAGGGTCTGCATTCGAGTCAAAGGAAATGTAACAGGTTACCACCAACACAAAAAACCACAGCACAAGCACTCACAGCACAAGCACCCACAGCACAAGCACCCACATCAAAAGCACTCATCACAAGCACCCACATCCTCCCAAGATTACTGCATCATAATCACCCACCTTGGAGACTCCTTGTACCCCGGCCATCCGTAGGTAAACCCTATCCATGCCCCTGCCACTGCCACAAACAGCAGTATTATCACATTTGCTATTGTCATACCCATCTGGAAATTGGCGCTCTGCAAGGGCAAGAGCGGAAACGGACGAGAGGGATAGTGAACAGAAGCAGAATAGAGGGACACTTGAGTGAAGCAGTACAATCACAGGGTTAAATATCCAACAAACAAAGTACCCACTGTCCCAAGAATCGGAACTTGTTTCCTGTGCCGTCAAGCGAGGTTCAGGAAGGTGCTGAGCTGGCAGCCCGGCAGCCCGTCCCTGCTTCCAGGCTGCCAGCTCAGCACCTTCCTAAACCTCGCTTGACGGCGTAAGAGACACGTTCTTATTCTCAGGGTTGATTCCCTTGCCACCTTATCCTCATCTGGATATTGGCGCTCTGCAAGGCAAGAGCAGAAAGAGAGCGGAGGGATGTTGCAACGTAAGGAAGAAAAGAAAAGTGAAGAAAACAGACAGACACACGAACAGCACAATCACAATCGCTACTATCTTCCTCCTCCTGCGTCTTCTCCCCCTCTTCTGCCCCGAGCTCAAGCACTCAGCCAACGTCTTTTCAATCCATTGCTAGAGCGGCGGTTTCTGAACGGCTCAAGTGCCTTGTGTTGTTGCACTGCTTAGGATTGGAGGAGGAGGAGTGGATCGGACTGCTTGCCGTCTGAGCTAAGTTGGAGGAGCTTAGGGTTCAACTGAATGACAAATTTTCAGATGAAGCGGTGGCGAGAAGCAGACTGGATGCGCTCACTAGATTCACAGTCAAACTAGTGAGCGCATCCAGTCTGCTTCTTGCCACCGCTTCATCTCAAAAGTTGTCATTCCGTTGAACCCTAAGCTCCTCCAACTTAGCACAGACGGCAAGTAGTTCGATCCACTCCTCCACCTCCTCATCGAGAAATTGACACTTTGTTATGAAGAGAAACAAAAGAGAGGGAAGTTAAACAAAAGAGAGGATACTGAACAAAAGACGGTTAGAGCCCACGTAAAACATACTCACAAACTCACACCCCAGGTGGCGCTCTGCCTCATATTCGTGAACGCAGCTACCTGATGCCGGCAGACAGCAGCGCAGTGACGAGAGCCACCATAAAGGCAGCACACGGAGGGATCCAACACTATAGTCAGTCAACGCACCTCTTTAATGCCGGCAGACAGCAGTACCGTCAAAGCAGCCACCATGATGGCAGCGCACGGATCCAACACTATCATGGTGCCTGGGATGGGTAGGCGAGCCATCCTCCCACGTGTTGCCCTAAAACATACCTCTCAGACTCACGCCAATACAATCACACACCTCAGCAGTACCGTCTTCGCAGCCACCATGAATGCAGCACACGGATCCAACACTACAGTGGTGCCTGGGACTGGTCAGTCAACGCACCTCCTTTATGCCGGCAGACAGCAGTGCCGTCACCGCAGCCACCATGAGGGCAGCGCACGGATCCAACACTACAGTGGTGCCTGGGACTGGTCAGTCAACGCACCTCTTTAATGCCGGCAGACAGCAGTGCCGTCACCGCAGCCACCATGAGGGCAGCGCACGGATCCAACACTACAGTGGTGCCTGGGACAGGAAGGCGGGCAAGGATGAATGGCAAGCTGTCCGCCCCTCCCAACGCCGTTGCCTGAACAGGTGGTTGGGGGGCGTGGGGAAGTATGTGAGAGACGATAGAATGAATTAGGGAACGTATAGGCATCTATGGAAAACAAGACAGGTAGGCGGGCCGGAGTTGAGTTGAGACAAGGCGTGCTCTCTGTCTGTTGGTCTGTCTGTTCGTTTTTACAAGGGTTAAGAAATGAGTCATGAAAGGACGCTACAAGATTGCATGCATGCATAGCTGAATGCACGAAACATCCCCAACACTTGCAAAATCGCCCCTGATTGTGCAGAATTACCAGGTTCGGTGAAATGCCTCGAGCCACTGCTGCTCCACCCACGGTGTACTCGAGAATGAGCGCCCAGCCGATGAGCCATGCCACCCTGGTGACAGCAGCGAGGGGGGATAACAGAGAGACGCATTGAGAATTGCACAGATCGTGTGAATGAAGAATGCCTCGAGCCGAGCCACTGCTGCCCCACCCACGGTATACTCTAGAATGAGAGTCCAGCCGATCAGCCATGCCACCCTGATGGAGTCAGCAAGAGGGGACAACAGAGAGACGGTTGAAGTTGACTCACAAGTCAAAGATGCATTGACTGTGCAACACTCCTCGAGCCACTGCCACCCCACCAATGGAGTAATCAACTTCAATCACACTTCCCCCAACCCCACTCGCACTTCCCCCAACCCCACTCACACTTCCCCAACAGTCGTATATGCATAGTGGTAGGCACTCCCAGCGGACGGGCAGCGACTGGCAAATTCGGCAGCAGAAAGCAGCCAAGCCCGCCGCCACGCCTGCTATGGTGGTGGAACCATCTACAACACTACCACACCCCCCAAGCACACTCACACTTCCCCGACGGTTGTGTAGGCGTAGTGATAATCTCTCCAGCGGACGGGCAGCAACTGGCAAGTTCGGCGCAGCAGAGAGCAGCCAAGCCCGCCGCCACGCCTGGTATGAGGAAGGAGAGTCATCTAGGCGCCTGCACTTACACCTTTCCAGTCCCTGCTACCCAACCCACTCACACTTCGCCCACAGTTGCGTAAGCATAGTGATATGCACTGCCAGTGGACGGGCAGCGACTGGCGAGCTCAGCATAGCAGAGAGTAGCAAAACCCGCAGCCACAGTGATTCTACGTCCTCTCCCACACCCCTCAAGCACACTCACACTTCTCCAACTGTCGTGAAAGCGTAGTGGTAGGCACTCCCAGCAGAGGGACACTGGCTGGCGAGCTCAGCATAGCAGAGAGCAGCCAAGCTCGCAGCCACTCTTGCTATGACACTGAACCAGAGCGTGTTTTTTGAGAATTCTCAAAAAACACGTCTTGCTATGATACTCAACCATCTTCCACCTCCACACCCCCAAAAACACACTCACACTTCCCTCACGGTGGTGTATGAATAGTGGTAAGCACTGCCAGCAGAAGGGCAACGACTGGCGAGCTCAGCATAGCAGAGAGCAGCCAAGCCCGCCGCCACAGTGATTCTACAGCTCTAACACACCCCCCAAGCACACTCACACTTCTCTGACTGTCGTGTAAGCGTAGTGATAAGCACTCCCAGCAGAGGGACACCGACTGGCGAGCTCAGCGTAGCAGAGAGCAGCCAAGCCCGCCGCCACGCCTGCTATGAGGAGGAAGGTGAATCGCCTGCATAACGGCCTGCACTACACCTTCCGCATTCCCCCATACCACTCACACACACTCACACTTCCCCAACAGTCGTGTACGCGTAGTGATAGGCACTCCCAGCGGACGGGCAGCGACTGGCGAGCTCAGCGTAGCAGAGAGCAGCCAAGCCCGCCGCCACGCCTGCTATGAGGAAGGAGACGGGCAGCGCCGGTCCGGCCTTCTCCCGTGCCACTGTGCCAATGAGAACGTACACTCCCGCGCCTATGGTCGACCCCACTCCTGTTGTAGGTGCGGGAGAGAGGTGCAAGGGAGTGGTAAGTGTTGTAGGGGCAGAATCTGGAGCTGCCTGCTATGGGGAAGGAGAAGGGCAGCGCACACCCGGCCCTTCTCCCGTGCCACGGTGCGTTATGGTTGACCTCACCCCTGTGGTGGGTGGGTGGGATGGATGGGATGGGATGGGATGGGATGGGATGGGATGGGATGGGATGGGAGAGGATGGGACGGCAGGGGACGGGTTGGGGTGGGACGGGACGGGGCGGGACGGGATGGGATGGGATGGGATGGGATGGGATGGGATTGGATTAGACCAGATAGGATATGATTGGATGGGATAAAATAGGATAGGAGATGGGATCGGATCCGATGGTGTAGGATGGGATGTGGTGTGATCAGGGTGTGACCCCGCCAGGCCGTTAGGCACGCGAGCACTCGTCTTAGAAAACGCCCGGATATCGGATCAGATCAAGCTCAGATCGTACCGAGTAGGGGAGTGGTTTGGAAGCGGAGACTTGCTCCTAGACTGGTTCAGACGGGATGGCTGGGGTCGGACGGGACGTAGTGGAAAGTAGCGCAAGCATGCTCGTTGTCTCAGCAGATCTCCGTTTGGAAATCCGGACCGTGACGGCCTGAAGCGCACCTAGTGGGATGGAGTCAAGCGTAATTACCGGGATGGAATAAGGCGTACCTAGCGGGATGAGCTGCCAGAACGTGAGGCACTTCGGAAGCGGCGCCGCCATGAGGTTCGTATGCGACTGAGAGTGCTTCAATCGGAACATCCCTCCCCACGAATTATGCCGGGTAAACCCCCCTCGCCTTGTAGTACCCGATCCTCCGCCATTCCCCGCTCCTCCGCGTTCCCCGCCGGATTCCTGAATCCTACGGTAGCCGGAATCGTGGATCTGCGGTTGAGATCCCCATTGGGGGGATGGATGGTGCGGATACGCGCCACCAGCGCCAGTTCGATCTGACGGTTGAGAACTCCCGAGGGGAGTCCCACCGTGATGATCTAGAAAACCTCCACGGCGATCCATGCTGACCGATGCCTGTCCGCAAAAAAGTATCGGAGCGTACTCGTTACAAGAATTAAGCTCCTATCGGTGCATGGACTAAGCCCATAGGAGTTACTTTCCCACCATGATGCGCACAATCTGAAACAGCTTTGAATGCGGAGCGATTTCTATCAATCTAGTGTGCGGCTGGCGGCGCGTGAAGCTACACGTCGATCAGAACAGCTTATAATTGAAAACTCCCATTCTACGGCTGTCTCGCGACTCGTTCAAACGCGGCTATCTCCTGCCAGCGGGTGTGGTAAAGTAACCGACACAGTAAAGCGTGTCAATATGCTGGCGTGTCAAGAAGAGGTAGGTGCCAGCGCTAGCGGTTTCGGTTACACCAAGCAGGAGCTCCCTGCTGCTAAAGAGGCAGTGGCTTGTTCCACCGTTCGAAACGTCTCATTTCTCTGGTCTAGTTTCCATCGAGCTTGTCAGGAGAAGGATTTTGTCGCGCGATTGACGGGGAAACTGAAGTCGTTGTCGGAAATTTGAACAGAAAAGGTTGGAGCTTGTACGTGGCACGCGAAATCATATTGGCCCTGTTCGACAGGCTAACACCGACGGCCGCGGAATCCTCGCAGCTCTTTCGTTTTCACATTTTTTCCCACGGTCAGCCCGTAAAATGCGCAATTGGGGCATTAGCCCCCGCTAACCTGTTGGCAGAGTGTTAGCCTGTCGAACGCATCCGATAATTGACCCCTTCGCCCTCTCAGAAAGAACCGCGAGCCTTCCCGCACTGGCAAAGGTCTAGTCCTCGCCTAGCCTAACCCTCGCCACACAAAAGTGGGGTTTGCCAAAGGGCTCGCCAAGTGTTTGCAGTGGGGAAACACCCACTCCCTGGACTCTAAAATGGGGTCCTTGTGAACCCGTTTGGGCGGAAAAATCCTTGTGAGGCGAGCGATTTGTGGAGAAGGCCTTTTTTTTTTTTTTTTTTCCCGCGATGTTACCCAGACCCCTTTGGAAAGCGGCCCAGACTATTCTACTGTGCCCGCCAAAGGCAGGTTGAAGGGGGCGGGCAGCTTCGCCTAGTGGGCCCCGCTCCTTCTGGCTACTCACGAAGCTTCAGCGGTCGATCAGCTCGGAGAAGGTGCGGTGAGCCCTCCTCTTAACACTAACCTAACACTAACACTTTGCAGAGTGTTAGCCTGTCGAGCAGGGCCTTGAGTCAGCACGCTGGGAGCTTCCTTGCTGGACAACTGGAGAAGCATGTGTTTTCGAGGGTTTCTGATTGGTGGTTATGCCACATCAGCGTCGAGACACAATGCCATGCCACCCAAGTCTGCGTCAACGACACGAATGCATGACTCAACGCGTTCCTGGGCACCAAACCCGATTAGACACGATTCGATTCAGCTGCGGCTGATTGGTAGAACACGGAACATATATTCATGGCATTCAAGTTCGATATACAGATAATATTTCATTCAAGGTGTACGTGAACGCAATCAGGGGGAATACATCTGACAGTGATAAAGATTCTCCTTCAGCCTCCGTACATTCCCAATCCTGACTGCAGCTCCAACTTGTGAAGAGTTGCTGGTGGAATAGAATCTCGGGATTATCACAGCAAGCAAGAAACAAGGGTGAGAAAGTAGGGTTAGCAAATCTTGAACTGTTACGAAAGGTTACTGATGACTGAAAACATGAAAGCCAGAGCCAGAATCAGTCTCCCTGCCTGCACACATGTCAGCACCCAAGGGTAAGACTGGCTAGTGCAAGCTTTCCATGTTTTGAGATGTGTCGATTTCCTAAAGCTGCAAATGTGAGGGGCTTGACAAAGCCTGTAAAATGTGGGTCCCACAGTCTCCCAGCCTGTGCATGACTGAGCACAGCACAGGACAGGAAACGGCAGGAAACCGGCTTGACTCAGTCATTCAAATGTGGGTCCCACAGTCTCCCAGCCTGTGCATGACTGAGCACAGGAGAGCGCCTTTGGTACAGCAGGACCCAATTCCCATCCCTGCCACTGCCGCCCATTGCTCCTCTCGCTCGTGCATGCCGTGTGGCACACAGAGAGAACGAGAGCACAAGTGATGGCCGTGACTGAGAGGGGTGCTGGCTGATATGGGAGAGGTTGCGAGCGTGGAGCATGGGAAGCTTCCGAACATGCCACTGGGGCCCTCTCCGAAGGGATAGATGGGCAAACAGCGGGATGGACAGACGGATGGGCGGTCAGAGAGGGGAGTGGACGGACGGACAGCGGACGGTCAGCTGACAGACAGTGGGGCGGACAAGGAGGGAACCATGGAGTAGCAGAGTAGAACTAAAGTACGCACACATGGGTGTTTTGAGCATTCATCTAGACTTATACGCACTCAAATACACTTCTACTCGTTGGACAATCAAGCTTCATTCAACAATTCAACAGGAGGGGTAAGAAACCTGCGGGAGAGGATCAATCAGATCAGCCAGCTGTGCTTTTGAGTCGACTCAAATCTCGACCCAAGATTAAACAATTGAGCAGGAGGGGTCAGACACTCTGGCCGGAGAGGACCAATCAGATCAGCCAGCTGAGTCTGTGGCCAGCAACCAATCAGAGCAGAGGCAGAGACAGAGAAAGTCAAGAGAGGAGGAAGGGGATTGAGAATGAGAGAGATTGAACGAGAAAAATACTTCCCGTTCCCTCCCATGCCCCTGTCTTCCGACCCTGAAACCTGCTGTCCGTTGCTCCTGTCTGCTTGGACACATGGCTGCAAACACGGCCGGTGATGGTCAGAATAAGTAGCTTTCATCATTCCCCTCTGCCATTCAGTAATCGATTCATTGATTCAGGTATTTATAATATTCATAAAAGATCGCATATACGCTTTAGAGGCGCACTTACAGAAGCGCCAAGGGAAAGGGTTGCAATAAGGAGGACATCGAGTAAGGGATAAACAAAAAGTCACAGCAGGAAAGTGGGCGAATGCAAAGGGGGCCAAAAGAACAAGCTCCTACATTGACTCAATAGACATCATGAATTCGATGCTTGTGCATGTTCAGAGAGCAACGGAGCGAAGTCAACAGGTGAACTTCAGAGACGACTCGTATGTCATGACAGGCGGGTGGGCGAAAAACAAGGGGGCAAAAAAAGAGGTGCCGAAGGGCCGAGTTCAATAGGTGAACTCGCTAATAAACCAATCATATAA